GGCATAAAGTTGTGGCACCAGGCTTACATATGGTTCAACGTTATGCCACGTTTCGTGAAATTGGCTGAGGGTGTCAATGGCACACTCTTTGTGGATCGGTATATAATGGCTTTAACAGGCATGCTGGCATGGTTGGCATGTAATGATGTACTTCTTACCTGGTCCCACAAATTTTGCCCATTTTCCCCTCAATGCTTAAATTTTACACCCCAATGTTCAGCTAAATAGCTGACTGTGAATGAAATGCATGAAACTGGAGTTGAGGTTTGACTGTACTGCCTCAGTAATGCCAATCTACGTTTTGTAAAAGTGCATTTTCCATGAAAAATCACAGAGTTTCAGATGCCATATGGTTTCCATTTTTGGTTGGAATGATGTCATGCACCATCTCTTCCGTTCATGTCTGCGTCGTCACGTCTTGCATACTGTCTGCATTACAAAGGACCATACGGAAATTAGGCTTAACAGGGAAGCTCATGAAAATCATCAGGTTTCAAAGACCTCTCTTTCTAAAGAATACACATCTCAGCACAAGGTAGTTGTCCACCTTTCTTTGGCTTGGCTTAACCTGATGAATCTGCAGAATTTTTTTCTGCTTTGTTCTCTGTAGGTTCTCACATTTACTCCATACTTCAAGAGGCTTTTAGATCTTTTCACAGAGGTGGCACAAATAACTATATTTAAAGAGTGTCATTCTGACGTGGGATGAAAAGGACAATTTAACTTTTTTTTCCCTTTGCATCAAGTGGTCTTTGTGGAGAAGATACTGTACAGGCAGAGAACAAAATGCACTTTTGAAGATTTTTTTTTGTCTTTGATGTTGGCAGTTGGCCATCTCTGTGATCGCATCTCTGTAGGGAGAATAACAGACACTGATGCTCATGGGCAGTGCCGTGGCTGGGCATGGTAATGGCGGTGCCGTCATCTTGTCTGCTACTCAGAACTCTCCAGTGGCCAAGTTGTATGTGAACCTCTTCGTAGATTGAATAACTCTTTACCTGGAAGAATTGAGGAAGGGTGTTGACCTTACATGTTATATGCGAAAGATTTCGGCCATGTCAGCTTGAACCGTTTTCAGCATGTTGTTTTCTGTAGATCTAGTGGCAGATAAAAGATGTCTATCAATTGCAAGGCAGCTTTCATTAGCGTACCTCTAAAAGACATCTTTCTTTAATTGAAAAAAGTGAAAGTATACGTTCAATAAGATGATGCACATGTATTTGCAAAATTGCAGTACATTATTTCTGTAAGCATACAGTTGTATAGTATGATCTCTTGCAGTTACAATGTACACATACCATACAAAAGTACATACTGTGCATTAAATGCATATGTAGTAATCATAGTAATGGTGGTAAGTTAAGGTACATTGTACAACATGGCAAATCCATCGTCACAACTTCATAAAACAGTAGATGTTGACTTTGACCTTCAAGGGGCATGAAGCACCATATAAAGTCATGGTGGCTGAGCTTTGCTTTTCTGGATTTTGTTGTAATTATCCTACAAATGCTTTCCAATCTTGGTGCATTCTGAAGCACAAGGATTGTCTTGGAGAGTTAAAGAAGCTATGTGTGTACACTGTACTCTACAAACCAATTTAGTGTACACGTACCGTACATAGGTTCAACTGTGGCTTTGCTTGCATCTTTTCAAAGAACTTTCATGATTCACTGTTATCACGCTGCATATTTTGTCATGGGCAGTTCAGCCTTATAACACAAGCAACATTATTTGCCACAAGAAATATTTCTATTTGGATCGAAGTGTCATTTGAATAGCTGTATGACTGTATATACATGTACCTGTACATATGTGTACCTTACTCTCCAACCAGAAAGCAGTTTGCTGTAGCTTGTCCATATTTTTTTAAAATTACATCTTTTTGTCCTCAAGGGGTTGTTTGAGTTACATGTAGCACTGTTTCCATGGAATGTAACAAGTACCGATAAATGTACATTACCTGTGTGAAATTAGGCCCAGCATGTTTTGCTTCCATTTATTTTATTCATAAGCTGTGGCACTGTTGATGCAGTCGCTTTGATCTACTCAAAGGCTGGAGACAAATCCTCCCCAACTTGTTTTCATTTGGGCTCATGTCCATATAATCACTTTGCTCCCTCTCATTTCCCACTGAGCCTCGGGGCCCCGGCCTATTGGCTCCAGAGTCTAGACTGACAGTCTGTGTGACCCGGGTACCAGCATGTTTTTCTAAAGGAAAAAAAAAAGGCGAAATACATGTAACTCCTTGGTGCAAGCCAATAAAAGCAGGATAGCAGTTTCGATAATGCAATCTTCAAAGGGTGACTGCCCTGGGGTAGGATTTTGTAACTGTAGTTTCCATGGTAATTTTCAATTTGTTTAATGCACTGACGCATGTCTAATGTCATTCATTTGAGACTCTGAGACTCTTTGAGACATTTGAGGCTCTTTCAGCAGGCTTCCCTCGGATCAGCTCATTTCCTCGTTTTTCACCTCACACTCATGCCGCTGGAAATTGAAAACACTATAGAAAGTTTTGTTAAGGTCGGAATTTCCTCATTTTTTTGGGTCAGATTTAAGTTTCAGTTTGTATGCCTGTTTTAAACAATCTTTCAAGAAATGCTTGAAAATGCCAGTTTATCAGTTTCTTAATGCTGGACAAATTTGTGACGTGTGTACATGTACATATTGTACATGTAATAACAGCTACTAGTGTTCTTAGTATTGCCCAGAAAAGTGCCAGTTAACTTGTCACATAGACGTACAATGTACATGTACATGTTTACGTACATGGACACACGTAAAGCACTGTTGCAGCACACATGTAATGCAACTGTTACAGTTTGCCCACTGAAATGGATGTACTTTTACATGTACAATACATGTATGTGTACATGAACTTTGCATGTACAGTACCGGTATGTGCATGAAAGAAGTTAGCATCAATTGGCTATTCAACTGAAAGCAGGGATTTTGTGCTGTGGCCTCTGTGGCTTAATGAAGCACAGAATTCTTTACAGGTGGAAGTTTTTGTTGTTTTGGTTTCAATGCATTTATCTGGGTAGAGTACATGTACACTATACATTTAGGCATGTACAGGTACCTGTACATGTATGTACAATGTATTTGTGACAGGTGTTAGTGGAAAGTTATTTTTTGCCAAAGAGTTTCTGGATCACAGTATCCGCCCTGAGCTGAAGTGCACCCCCAATCGGTGAAAGAAAAACAGATGGTTACAACCGGGGTCATGCACTCTGGAATAAATTCGTTGCGCGTACTCAGCATCAGACGCGCATATACATTGTACTTCCGCACCCATGTGGCAATTTGGTACCAAAAGGACTGTCATTTTCATTTGTAACGCGCCCTCTTTTGTTCCACCCAGAGTGGATTCATTTGAAGCAAGATATGGGATGGAGAGAAACTTCCCGTCCCTTTTGTGTTGGTCATTGTTTAACCGGCATCTCAGGAATTTTTTTCAGACGTCTTGGGGAATGTGTTAGTGTAGGTACACATGTACATGTAGCAATAGTCTAGAGTGTCTGTAGGGTTTGCACATGTAGGGGGGTACCCCTCCGTCTCATATCTTGCTGGGTACATTTATATATAACAGTATCAAGTTTTCACCTGCTTGTTCATGCAGCATGTGAACACGTATATTGTACCGTGCATGTGCCTGACTACTCTGTGCACACTGGTTATACATGTACATATCGTATGCATTGAGGTTTGTTGTCCAGGCTTCCAGCAAAGGGATAGATTTTGCAGGATTAGGGTTGCATATGGTTCATAGCAAGATCTTGCCAACGGAATTGGACTAGCTAGTGAACCAGTTAGCAATGCCCAGGCACCACCATCAAGCGCAGCGTGAAAAATGTCCGTGTGTGCTAGGACAGGACCCTTAAGCCTGCTAATTCCTAATTTCATTTTCAAGGCGCCACCCTCTGCTTGTTATCACATTTCCATAATTAAAACTCGGGAATTACTGTACACAAGCCCCACAGGCCAGTGGATCAGCATATTCATTGATTGGAGGCAATCCCGCCCGCAAGGTTTTGAGGTACTGTAAAGCGTACATGTGTCATTAGCAGGGATGCAGATGTATATGTAAGTCCTCCTACAATTGCAGGATTTGGGGCTTCTGTTGAATTTCAAATAGATTTTGGGCTGTAATGCGGACGTGTTCACTTGGTGTCAGATTTCCTGCCTGTGCTATGGTAATTCTCATCAGCGCCTACTGGCCATTGGTGTTCCGTGCATTACAGGAAAGTTTAGACGGGAGATGCATCATTGTGTCAGGCCAACCACCTGATCTGGGAGACCCAATTGTATTGGTGCAGCAGGGAGATCAGGGGCGAGGTTGCTCATTGAATTAGGCCAGAATGGGAAGAAAGCAAGACCAGGAGCCCTGATTTCTGCCAGATTCTCATGATTGAATTTGTACGTGTAGATTTCATTTTCAATTGCTTGTGGGAACACAGTAACAACTTGCGTGGGTACATACTTAGCGGTACATGTACACGCATCTGTATGTACATGTATGTTTAAATGCAGTATAATGCCATCTGTCAAGTATCAAAAACAGGGCTACCAAATGACATGTAAAAGCAGTGTCAAACATACAGTACATGTAGAAATCTACATGTATCTGCCCAGAATGCTGTCATTTTCGAGAGAAAAGAAAGTTTGTACTTTCTCCAGTGATCACCAGGAGGGTCATTGGAAAATCATTAAAGTGGGTAATTCTAGAAATTAGGGGTCCATTTTTATTCATGTCCTGTCACATATTTATGATTTTGTAAGTGCATAATACATTTTCTAATTTCCAGGAGTGATGAATTGATGCAAATTACCAGTACTTGCCAAACAAATACATGTAGTAATACATGTTGTTTGAAACCAATTCCGGTGATATTTCCATGTCAAAGGAGTAAGTGACCACTCTCTCACACCTCCCACTCCATCTCTCACTATCTGCAGATTTCACATTCTCCTCTCTGTTTTTCGTTGTTCCCCAGGTCGGTGACAAAATACGGGTTATCCTAGACATGGAAGACAACTATCTGGCCTTTGAACGGGGCTACGAATTTCTGGGCGTGGCCTTCCGCGGTCTTCCGGATGAGCAGCTTTTCCCGGCAATATCAGCTGTGTACGGGAACACAGAAGTAACCATGGTGTACCTCGGCGAGCCCCTGGATGGATGACAGCGGTTGCCGAAGACGCCCCCTCCCAAAATTTCCATTGACAGGGGCGCACTGATAAATTATTTTTGGCCCTACAGTTGGCATGTATCAGCAGTCTGTGGGCCTCCCATGCCTCAGCCATTTGTAACCGGGTAGAAGGACCAATGCGCTGTTAGTACATTTCTCAACGGATATGACACACGGCCAGAGTGATTTCCAACACATCGATTTTCCTTTTCAAACTTCAAGGGAGCATTTTGTTTAATCAGGAACTGCTGTCCGTCTACCTGGCAAATTCTCCAGCCCACTATTACCGGTAGCTCTGTAATAGATATAAATGCTTTGTCAGGACGATAGGTGTGTGTTCGGGTGGGGTTCATTTGTGTAAGTCCAAACAGCACAGAGGCCTTGCAAATCATCATGGACTGCCCTCTATGTGATATTTTGCCCTGGGCTATTCAGTCTAGATGTGTCAGCCTAACAAAATTGTGTTAACTGCATGCATACGTGGGCAGTGTGCTGGTCTAAGGTGAACAGAACTTGTCGACAGGGGATCTTTGATCCCAACCCCCTCCCCCTAAGAGTGCTGTATTTGGCAGGTACTGTACCATGTACATATACATGTAACATACTGCATGTTTCACTCAAGGTGTTTGAAACGCCAACTTTCCACAGCATATCCATGGATGCATGTACAATACCTGAACATACATGTACATGTATGTGTACATGCACTGATGTTCCCAACCAATCGTGGACCTTAAAGAAAAGAATTAATGACTGTCCACGATTCCTGATACGTCCAAGATTGCCATACGTGTACAAAACACATTAAAGGCCTTCCAAAAAAGTTGAAGTATGAACAAAAAAGGACAATAAGAACATCCACGATTGCCAAAAAAACATGTTTCGGTGCACCTGCACGTGTGTGATAGATACCCTATCACAATGTTGGGACAGCTGAGAACAAAGTTGGAGTCCCAAATGTTGATTCGTCCAGGATTAATGGAACTGCACCAGTACCTGTCATTTCAGTATGCATGTACGTGTGTATCATTGCCATGAGAAGGACAGAAAAGTGAACTGTGTCTGTTACCAGGAATTGTCTGAAACAAAATGGTTGCCCAAAAATATTTGCTCTTCGTTTATAAAAGGCAGTAAACATTAAACACGGCCAGAGTGAATTCTTACTAGTTTTTAGCATCAGAGTCTGTCCACTTGCCAATCCATGTATGTCCTGGTACTTTGAAATAAGAAGTGGTCAAGAAAGATGGTTTGCTCTTGGTTCAACCTAACAACCAGATTTACAATTAAAACACATCTTTGACACTTCTTGGCACTCTGTAAAATGGAAGGCACATAATGCATGTTGCTTTCCCTGAATGCAGGCACGGTGTAGTCAGGTGTCGCATGCCTTACCAGGACAGTTACTTTTAAGCTCGCAGATGATGTGTGTCCTGCCTGTCAAAGTTAACCGTACATGTAAATCAATTTCAAAGAAACGGGAAATCGGAAAAGAAAAGAGGGAAATGAAAACCGAAAAGGTCTATCATCACATAATCTTACACACAGAGAACATTCTGACAATGTAACACTGTGTTTTTTCCCCTCATGTTTGAGCAGATGTACATGCTCTGCATAAAATGTGCCATGGTACTGACTTCAGGGCAGTGATCTGCATCAGTTAAGGGAAACGGCCAGAAAAATGAATACCACAATTTATCAATTGCAGGAACTTAATCTAGTGATTGCAAGGCCTTATACGTGTATGTGTACATTTTTGTGATTTGTAACATACACTACACTGAGTACATGTATGTGTACTTCATTTTCCAATTCTTACTCAAATCCACGTTTTCACATGCATGTAATTTGTACCATTTTAGCCTATACATGTAATCTCACATTTTTTCCACAAGTTCCTCAACTGCGAGCAAAATCATCAAATACAAATTTCATCTTGTAGCGTGAGACCAAGCCCTGTTCATGTACATGTAGCTTTACATTTAGTACGTGTAGATCATACTGATCAATTATTGTATGATTGTGAATTGTGGTTATACCCTGTTCCTTCGTTTTAACATCGCTTATTATATAGTTTTAAGCCAGACTGATTAGACTTGGTTTTTACTAGTAATTGGGGAGTGGTATTTTTGTAAACCTGCCATAAATTATTAACCATCCTTTTCAAGTAAATCGGGCACAAATTTTTGTTTCATGTACATGTATTTCCCAGTAACTGTATCGTACATGTAGTCAGAGATGATATCTGGCACTTGGTAGCACTTTCCATTGAAAAATAAGGTCTGATTTCTGTCTGCTTGCCCACATATGTATGCACACCCAATAGTTTCTGCTGTTGAATTGATACAGAAATTCAAGCAATTCTAAATGCTGCCACAAAACTCCATCCTTCACCTCAACTGAAGATTCTGATAGGTGCTGCTGTCACAGTCTGGGAGGCTGTTAGGCTGTCTCTAAGTCTGCACACTTAGAAGGTTACCACTGCACATCTGAAACCTGAGAAAGTCCCCGTGATTTGATGGGCACTAATCTGGGAAATTTAGCTGTGTATAATTTTTCCCAGCATTGATTCAATCTTTCACCCATGATGTTGTACATCGTCAGATTCTCATCCACAGCAGATACAGACTCGAAAGGATCCAAAGAAGAATCATTAGTAATCCCTTTGCCTCATTTCCAGAGTAGTCCAAATATAGCAAACGCACACCGCCATCGATTATTTATTCTCCATTGACTCATTGTCTGCAAATGCCCCCCCCAAGAAAAAAAATCATTAAAAATAAAAAGACCAAGAACCTGTTTTTACAACTAACACACATGAACACTAGTTTGACATTCCTTTGTTTTCATGAAGAAAATACTCCATGTGAATATTCCATATTTTAAAACCATGAGCATTATTTCAAACTTTCTTGTTTCCTTGATTGTTCATATTCTTTTTGCCATAGATAACCCTAACCCCAAATGCCTCTAAACCAGTATTTTTGGAGCGGACAAAAACCTTGCATGGACATGGGCATGTCCACACAACTCCTAACTGCCTGTGTTGTGTGGACTTTTTGGTTCTTAGGTCCACACAAGATACAGCATGTTAAATGTTTGTACAGGATGAATATAATACTTCCATCTTAACTTCCCCACTCCTCCCTCTCATTGTCTGCATGCCACCCAGCCAACGATCTGATGAGTAGTTGCATTGTGCCAGCTGTGTCAACATTGGTTTCAGTCTGTTGCCAATCGTCTGGTTCTTCAGAGTAGCAGATGATCTGTAGCAGTATATCGTGTGTATTCTCTTGACGCTGATTAATGATTAAGGCAGAACATTTGTATCTCAAGCTTCTCAGGGATTTGTGAAACTTTATACATATCATGTATCATAAAAACTTGTCAAATATAGATGTGTACACAAAATGTAGTATAGCCTGGGTCCTGACCCCTCGTGACTGAGGTTGTGGCAAGTTAGGGTGCACTTAGACAGGTGGACCGTGCTAAGCCAAGCCTACGTGTAACTTGTGTGTACCTGTAGATTTTCACTTCAAAGAAGATAGGCCCAGTTTTAGTCCATTAACATCTGAAGTTTAATATGTAGTCCATTGGTGGAAGTGCTTTACTTATACAAAATTATTTCTGGGCACTGATTACTTAAACCTTGCACATACATGTAGGTGACAACCAATTTAATCATGCCCAGATGGAGTAATGTACATGTACCTTTAGATGTATGTGCAAAAATGTGAACAGCTGTCACAAAAAGCAGAAATTAATGATGGGCACTGTTGGTTAGTCATTTTTTTTCATTAATCATTCTTTTATTGGATGGTTCCTTTTTTTAAACCGTGATCTCACTGTTTTCTGTGGTGTTCATAAATGTATTTTATGGAAGTTCACAGTTGGTCGGCATGGTAAGTAGTCCAGCAACTAGACCCATATCACAAATAATGTGCATACATGTAAATCACCCTAAGCATTGGGACCACATCACGGAAGGGATAATATTATCTGAGAATCATGTGAGCTGATAGCCTCGGAATTTTAATGATTGTGAAATGCTTATAAATCATCTATATCATTTGTTCAGTTTGTGCATTTTAATTATTTATCCGATTCGTGGTCTCTAAGTAGCCATGGCCTGCTGTTTAATACACTGTGAAGAAATAAAGATTTTTTGCTAGAAATTCAGTACATTTAGATTTTATTTGGAAATGTGCATGAGCATAGCCAGTAAGTTCTGATTTAAAGGTTTCTTGGGGAATGATTGGGGGCTGTTTTCATGCAGCCAGCAGAGGAAAGTTTCTGGCATTGTAACCCTAGTGGTGTACAGAAATCCTTTGATTTGATTTGGCATATGATTGATTTGATTTTGCTGGTCATTTTGAATCCAGTCATGGACACAAGGGGAGGGGGCTCTTACATTCTTGAATATGTCCATTTTGACTGGATGAAAGTTAGAGGTGCCCTGGGTTTGTGGGCTTACGGCTCCCTAGTCGATGGAAAGCCCAAGGGTTGCAGGCAAGGGGTAGGAAGCTGGACAGTCTTGTTGCCAAGAACGTGGAAGAAAAAAAGCTGGGAGTTCGATAATTTTATTGTTTTATTTGTTTTGAAGGGGCATTGGGTGCCCGGGTTTTGGGAAGTAGTGGTTAGCAGGGGGCCAAAAGTCCAAAGGACACACATCCGCCTGGTTTTCAGTAATCTGTGTGTTTACCTCAGTTGTACATAAACTGCACTCTAGCTCAGCTTTCTTTCTGTGAACTTCTTTGGAAGGAGGGGGTGGGACAGTTGGCGCTCGGATGAGAAGGGGAGCACTTGTTGTCCAGATGGATTTTTGGAATGTGCGGCGCATACGCTATCACTCAGTGCATGCCTAGAGGCAGACAATCTATAGAATCCAGGTGTAGAAAAATTGTCTCAGGGTTTGCTATGAAGTTTGTGTTTCTTTGAAGTGGGCGGGGCTTTTCCAGTCAAGGGGTGTTACTGTCCCAGAAAATAGACCAGTTGTGACACAATCAGTTGTAGGGAAGACATTGTAATGGTAAACATAGGGTGTTTTCTATAGAATCTGTTAAACAGCCTTTTATGTAGTTTCTATTTGGAGAAATGAGTTTGTGTCATGACCACTTTAAGCAGTTTCTACTTGTGACTGAAAACATCCAGTTAAAAGGGTCCAAGGTGATTGGTTGTAATAGTTTGAGTGTGGTTCATAGTACGGTGAAATGGGTTTTATTATGTTATGTTGCTTGCTACATTTTAAGGTTTCCAGGTTAACAGTAAAGGTTCTCATTTTCCTTAATGGCCAAGTGATAGCCTGCATTACAAACCACTTAGAATTCAGGGGTATATATGGTGCCTGCATGCATTAACATTATTCGGTGCATTTAGCTGAGAACAGTAATGGATTAGTGAGAGGTCGTCATATATACGTGTACAAAGGCACTGTTTTGGATTGGTTGCACTTTGCCCGTACTGTAGTGTGATTTCAGTCAATTTCTGTATATCTTGCATCATGTATAAATTTTGGTACAAAAAATCTTATGGCGCTCATTTCTGCCAACATCAGCTGTGGGAAAACATAAGAAAAGTCTATTTTAAGCTGCCGTGTAAAAGAAATGGGAAAAGTGCGTGTACTGAATAATCTGGTGTAGATATTTACCAGGAATTTTATGGCCAGTCAAGGCTGAACAAAGGACTAGCACAAACACGTAAATCATGTTTGGGGGTAAATTTTGCTTTTCATAAGATGTTTATCATTGTATATTTCTACACTACATCCTTCCAACGTTTCTTGGGATCATATGCCCTAACAAATACTGAAAAGTCTTTTCCTGTAGCACTGGTGTCATAACACTGACATGCACTGTGCCTTAATCCAAGCAGTTATATATTTCAATGTATGCATTGTGTGCAAGGGTGTGGCACTGCGTGATTGGTGACTTATCGTGGGAGTGTAGCAAAGCAAGCACCAATGGGGAGGTTTTGGGCATACTTTTTCAAAAGTGTTGATGGAGCGGATAAATTCGGTGAAATGCATCATGAATACTGAGTTGCATTTAATTTGACTGCCCACACAACGTTGAAAAGTGTTCTCGGCCTGAAATGCCTTTCAGAAATGGCACTTTCAAGGCATCGGTAGTGGCACTTCCAAAATTAGGCCTCAGGATGGCACGGTTTCCTGATGTAACATTGCCTCAGTGTAGTAACTAAACATATTGTGAGGAGTCATCACTGGTTTATATTATGTAGTAAACTAAACTACAGAAGATGGAGCCATGTGCAAGGAGTATCGTGTAAATTGCATGTGTAGAGGAATCATGTACATGAATAATAACATTTGATATTTAGGAAAAGAACATGTATGCTGATGATTTATTACAGAAAATTGTCAGAGTAATCGGGGATTAATTGAGATGTTTATTTTAAGCAGTATTCAGGAATTTGTGCCACTCCTTCAAACATTGGAGAGGACCAAAAAGAGTGGTGACATCTTTTAGAGCTAGTGACAAAACCTATTGTTCCCCTAAGTTTCCGAGGAAATGAGGTTCCTCGCGTGTCCCCAGCCTCGCACTGAATTCCCAGGTTTGGCCGTCACTGAAGGTTTTATGGAGATGGCGCCGCGCCAGGAAGACCTTTGCTGAGCTACCTATAATCACTTACAACATAATTTACGCAGGGATTAAAGCTTAATGGTTAATCTGCAGGCCCTATCCCTCATGCAGGTAAAATCAACCACTGGCGAAACGGCCCTGTTGCACATTCACACGCCACATAATTTACATGTATTTTAATGAATTCCAGGGAAATGTATTCCACACTTGCCACGCTAAAACCCAAGTTCTTGGTAGAGTTGTAGTGACTCGGATCAATGACTCGACTTGAGTTCCATGCCAGTCACAATTCTTTAAAACTCATCAACTGGAGTCCCGACTTGTAAATGACTCACTCGAGTCACTGCAAGCAAGTGAAGACCCGACTGGAGTGAAATTTGAGTCCCCAAAACAAAAGCAAACTTCGTCTTCTGGCGCCGGTTTATGCAATGTTCCATGTCATGTTTTATGATCATCAAGAATGAGATCTGTTGTGACCAGTGACCACACGTACAAATTCTGAGATAATTTAACAAGACTAGAAAAGATTTTATCCCTTGTTTTATTTATCGTATTGTGTTCAAGTATTGGTAACTTGACTGAACTTATCATTTTACCCAGTGATTTGAGTCGAGTGACTTACAGTGACTCAACTTGACTCGAGTCACAAAACGTGTGGCTCATTGGTTCTTGACACTAATAGAGGAGTAATTTGTATCACCCGTCCGAATTCCGTGGAGACGGGAGGTAGATGACAAAAGCTTTTACATATGAAGAAACCTGTACAGCACTAGTATATTGTAGGGGCTCACGTTATTTTCATGCCGGAGACGAGTACATATAAATCCTATGAGGTCTAAACTCAAACGCCCACGCGTTTTTCCCTCTTGAAATATGAACGTAATTTAGGGTGCTGTATTTAGTATCAGTTTGTTTCTAACAATACACCGATGTACAAAAAATTACTTGAATTGAAAGTTTACAGTACGGGCCTACTGTTGGGGTTTTTTTTGGCACAGGCCTTCTCATCTTCGCTTCCGTGCCTTTTTATATTTTACAGATTTAAAAAATGAAGAAAACCATGAAGACGTTTGCTTTAAAATCATGAAATCTTTTTAGGAGGTACAACTTTTAAACTGATTACTCGGAATCTAGTTAGGTCTCTTTTTAAAAATGAAACAGTTTTGTGGTAACTTTTGTTAACATTTACGCCACCTTTTGGACCCTTTTGACGACTTTGATCGTAGCATGCGGAGTTACAAAGCAAAAGTGGCAAAGGAAGAACGTTCATGATTTTGGATCCTGAAGATCTTGTGCATAGAACCTGAAACTAGGTTCAATTCCACAGCGCTCAGAGATCGTCTGAATCGAAGTGTATGTTGTGCCCTGTCAAGATGTCCTTCACTCGCTTCTTGGCAGCTGTCTTGGCGTCCTTCATATTCGCCAGGAATTCCTCCCTCTCTGTGTCTTTGCCGTCTGGCGGTCCGGCTTTCGTGTCCCCTGCTGCCTTCAGCAACAGGTCGATCTCGGTGTCGATGTCTGCCTCAAACCTCTCTGCAGCCTTCTCCCGCCCCTCATCATCCGTCAATTCCTCCTGGATGGATAAAAGCGTATATGTAATTCGGTTAAGGCATATAGCCCAAAATTGTTAATTTTATAAACTGCAACGTAAACTCGATGCATGTTGACTACCAGTATACCTATTCAGCATTTGAACCTAATCCCAAATGAAATCAAAATGCCAAAAGGTTTTTGAATATCATTAAGAAATAAGAGTAATGAGCCTCGAGCTAGGCCAAGAGGGCGCACTTTCCTTAGCTACAGAGGCTCCTTTCGTGGACACTGCACTTCACTGGTTAACGACCGACTATGAAATGCACGCTTTGCGGTCGCATCGCTACCAACAGAATGAACACCCTGATCAATGTGGCTCTTTTCAACCGATGAGGGGGTTCTTCTGCTCGAGGCCGATACTTGAAATACCTTTATGTCAAGACTCTTCCGCTGGTATTCGTTAAGTAGGTTTTTGGCAACTTTCATGATTCTGCCGCGTGTGTGGTAGATCTTGCCAGCACCATGAATGACGTTTTGTTGATTTTTATCATGGTGCCTATCATCTTCGTCGCCATCGACATCTTCGTCGTCCCCTCCCTCCCCCTTGTGGTTGCCATCTTCCAGTGGACGGCCGCCGAAGAAAAACCTTTAGAAGGTTGGTCGATAAATAAAGATAGAAACAGTTACCCCTAAATGAAAAGCTTGAGTCTCGGTCTTCTCTGGCCATTTCTTGACTCGGCAAAATTGTTGTAGATATTTACAAAAACAAATACTAAGAAAATGTGGCCTTCCGCGGGGATATTCGCCGTAAGGAGCAAACACTGCCAAGCCGGATCCTACCCCCACTTCCAGACACAAGTAGAACAAAATAAAATGGTTGCTAGTTGAATTCAGTAGTGGCTTCGATTCTTGAAGGTTTGCTGTACAGCAAAGGAGTGAGAGGCATGCTGCAAGCAGGGTTTATCGGGGCAGGACTGAAGAAAGCTATTCTAGAATTCACTACAAACCCGTTTTCCTCGTCAGTATCGTCGGGGTAATCTTCGTGATCGTCATCGTGCCACATGTGCTCTGTGTCATCTAGGTCGTCATCCTCTGGATAAAAGCCCTTATCGCCCTCCTGTATCTGTCCTTTCTCCCTCTCCAACCTGTCCTTTTGATGGTCTGCTTCGTCTGTCGTGCCTGTCTTCGCGCTGGTTTTGCTGGGACGTTCTTGTTCATCTTTGTCGCCCCAACCGAGGCCGAACCAAAGCAAGTGTCGTTGATTTTCAATGACGGGGCTTGCGGGCTTAGGAAAAATGTCACCAACAGATTCCAGCACGTTTACTTTCAGTTTGTCCTCCATCAAAGATGATCTAGACAGACAAGAAATTTAACACTATTTTAACCTTGAAAAAGCAGAGAGGCTAAGATCGATTTAAACTGAAGTATTTGCCAACTTTACTACATTCATACAAAACGGAAGGCAAACAGAGTCCCAAAAAGTTTTCTGTTTTTGTCAAGCGGTACTTTTTAAAAGAACGTTTACTCTTCCTTATATTACCCAACCGCGCGACCAGCCCCTGTCGTCATTAATTCTACTTTGCAATGTTGATGTAGGACATGATGATCACATTGTTTTATGTTTAATACAGAAATTGGAATGGGTGAAATTCTGATTCGGCTATCCTCCTTGGTCAAAAGTTGGGGTGGTATCCAGTACGCATTCACCGTGGTTAATATCCTGCAGAACATCTCAATTGATACAAATTTTATTTACCCATCGACTGTAGCTAGCTTAGGGTCTTGCCCCATGTTCAGATACTTTGAGGAGCCGTCTTCTCCCCAGTGCATTTCCTCCACGTCACGGTCCACGTAGACCAGGCGGTCGACGGACGAGCCCGACGCCGCATCAGGGGCCCGTGGGCCTGCCAAGCGAAAACAAGCCGAGAATCTACAATTCTTTCTCTTCAATCTGTTGTCTCACCTTGCCGTGGGCAAGACGTGGAAGCGATGGTTGGTTCATCATGCCGGTGTGAAATGAGTTGTCAAAGTCTCGATGCGCGACGGTTTAGTGTGAACACTGCGCCGTGTCGCTGCGAGATTCCCCTCCTTTTTAACCCTAAATTAGCAGCACAAAACCCCCCCTTGTTTTCCGTTGTCTTCATCACACATTTTGTGTTTCATCCTGAGAATTCATGAATTTGCTGAATGATTTCCAGGTTTTTCTGCTCAATCTGTTCACTCGCGGACGGTAGTCTGAAATTTACTGCCGATGACCATAATGAGATATTTGTCTTTTTTAGAAGGAAATCATGATTATTTTGGATTTCATATCAATATGCTACTAGTGTTCGCCAGCATCTTGGGAATTATTAAAGGCTGTTAAAAATCTATGCAGACCCCCGAACGACTGCCTGGTGGCATAGAAATCTCGACACGCCGACATTAGTATTTTATTGAATATTTACATATAGAGGTTAATTTTATACATTTTTTCCTCAGTGCAATGTTAGACTATTATTAGAAGAGGTAATCGGTAGTGTACACAGTATGATTGACATATCTAATTCCGACTATCTTTTGTCAGACAGTCCGGCGGACACAAGGTTGTCCTACAAATTTCGAAATTTCAGCTTATGTTCCTACCTACAGGAAGGCTGGTGGTTCCACCATCAAGCGTCAGCACTGTAAGAAACAGGAATTCCAGAGACACAAATCGAGATGCTCTGTTGGACAACATCGTCACCACCGTTGTCTTTCAAATATCACAATTCCACTTTCACCACCTCTTGCTGTTCAGTTTGCAACTTTTACTCATTAAAATGTCCGGTTTGCAAGATTTATATCCTAAATCACACAATAAAATAGTTCTTATTTTGCGATGAGTAATTCACAATAAATTCAAAACATTTCTGAATTTGTGCTGACTGATTTCGTCCATAGTCGAGTTCTAGATCTGCACTCGAAAATTAATTCACGGTCTTAATGCTTTTAACAATAGAAATCACAGCGTCAGCTGTTGCTGTTCGTTAACAATAGTGTTGGTCAGATTGATTGGAATTGTTACACGTGTATTAAAAACCGAGGTAGGCCTACTGTGCAACAGACGTTTCCCGTAGTAATGACAGGCATCTAAAATACTGACGTGAAAACGAACAACGCCCCCTAAATACGGCACAGTGTCTTGATTACTCGTTGATTATGTCATGATTATGTCAAGATAGTGTGTGTGTGTGTGGGGGGGGGTGTCAGCATATATTAATCCAAGCTTTTTTCCACTTTGTTCATCAGGGAGATGAGCTCAATGACATTCAGAACGAGTCCATGCAATCAATCAAAAAAATATGGAAATGAATATCAAATAACATGGAATAAAAATAAAATCACATTTAAATGAAATAAACATGTAATGAAAACTTAATTGGAGAGGTCAACGAAATAATAAAAAAGTTTCAATTTCAACGAGACGATGAGTGGGGTTGATACACATTCTGACCTGACACGTCGGCCCACTTGCCACCCAATCCACTGGTATGATTTGGGTGGGGTTAGAAAAGTGGTGTAAATTAATTTTTGTGCCGAGAATTGGGAGATTGCGGAGGGGACGGGGGTGACTTGCCCAGCCATGGAAATTTCAAAAGCAAGGGGGGGGTTACCATATGACACTGTATAGGGGAGGTATACATGATACAGATGTACATAGATTATGTAGGCCTACTGCATTTCTGCAGAATCTTACATCAGAACAGAACATGCTTCTCCTTTTTTGAGTGGTATATATAGTACATTTTGGTTGTTGGCAATTCCTTAATTCCTTCGCCTTAATTGAAAAAGAGGGGGATGATTCAATAGCCCACCCCTCCTAGTCAAAAAAGGGTTAACATTTCTGACGGGGGCTGGGTGCACACTTTTTTTCAAGGGGGCATTAAAGCAAATTAACTGTACTCCGTTTATTTCAAAATTTCAAATGGGAGAGCCTGGGGGCATGGACGTCCATTTAGCAGCGACTTGGGCATAATGGAGGAGGAGCATCCTCAACAGAACCAGGACGAGAGAGTGATCAGATCACTCCCTTCATTGAGCTATCAAAAAGGCTCCATGCTCCACACAGCAACCGATGATTAGAACAGATGTTTCGCACACCGGGCTTATAGACGATGTGCGATAGGCCAGCACTACGCATGCCGCACTGAACAACGACCCTGTGATTTAATTATTAATAAATCTCCTTGTTGATATCCAAAACTGAATATTGATTACTCTGTAGTAGCCGGCCCAACAGGCACAGTCGCGTTCTGAAGAACTAAGCCTTACCACAACCTTTCCTCACCCGAGAAATGAGTTACGCAGGCCACAAACAAACTAATTGGTCTAAATCAAGATGGCGACCAAGATGGAGGTGGATGAAACTCCGTCGACAAGCGGCGATGAAAGCGGCAGTAATTCCGTCATGGCATCCAGCGGAACGACTGGGAGTGTTTCTGTGGCTCTACATCCACTAGTCATCATGAATATATCCGAACATTGGACTAGAATTCGGGCACAGGAGGGAAAACCGACCCAAGGTTAGCCAGGCATGCCAGGGCATATCGCTTCGGCAGTGTCGTATTTTGCACTGTACATGTACTTGCAGTAGTTACTAATACTTGGCCTACTCATCATCATCATCGTCATCTTACAAGTCATGCTGGTTAGGCCAAGTCATTAGTTGGGCATGTCGGGTCAATTCATGTAGGCCTGTGGTCAACTTGTACCCTCAACAACTCACACTCCTACTCCGAATAAACGGTATACCACATACTAAGCCTATGGAACTCTTTCCCTGTGTTCCCGAGTCGCCTCTTATTACATTTGGACATCAAAGATATGATAGACATAGTCAGGCCATAGTAGAGTCCGAGAATCCTTTAAAGCTTGGAGTCATAACCCCCAATTAAAATCCTTACTGAGGATTTATAGGCCTACATGTAGGCCTATGTTGGATTTCACCTACATATAGCCCAGGCTGGACGTTGTCTTCATTTCGTCCTTTCGTAATGTAGCACAGTCAGGGAGTCCACCTGGGCTAGATTTTACCCCCAAAACAGTCCTGAAACTATTGTGCCCACTTTAGGATTCAGTTGGAATCAGTCATACTAATTACCATCAATGGACCGTCAACACACTGTCAACACAGCGTTAACACCCTATAAAACGTGTTAAAAATAAAAAGAAGTGGTACTCGACCGTAACGTGTTTGTCGATTGGATATTTTGCCTAAACTTCAACAGTTTAGACTCATGAAAATTACCGTTTTAGTTTGGCCGAATCGCCTCCTTCAAACAGCTCAGAAATCAGCTACCATGATGCCTCTGGGGCAACTGGGACCATACCATTATGCTAGAGGGGTGGTGATATTATACATGTATGATAAAGATGCAATGCTTTTTCCTTTAAATTTACTATATATTGTGTTTTTCTTAATATTGAATATTGTCCCTCGTATTTTGACAATAAGTTGAATAACTGTGTTAAGTAAAATCTATGATGTTGTTTCTGCTACATTTATTTTTACTCTCTTAAAAAGTATTTAATTTATAGCACAGCATATCCACACCTAAATGGTACAGTTCAAGCTCCATGAGGAGGCAAGATGGCAGCAAACAGCTACGCTGCTAGAGATTTTTTGTGTGTGTGAAAAAAATCCATTTGCAAATTGATTTGTGACCTCCAACTACTGGAAAGTCTCTTTCAGCCCATGGATTACACTTCTATGAGAAAGAAAGAGAGAAATTCCCTTCTAATCAGAAACTCTCTTGTCACTGTATATTACATAAGCTGCTATTTGTACATGTACAAGGTCGTGAAGGTGGCTAATTTACAATTGCCCAAGGTCCGAGTTGACTGTCTTCAAGCTGACTCTGGTACCAATTGACCTGGGTATTATTGATTGTCCTGGGTATGAGATAACCCAGATTCATGCAGGTTGAGTTTTGCTGGGCAAGTAAGGTCTTTATATTATGTGTTCCACATGGATACCGAAGTGAATACGTCCACAATTATGAGTGTAAAAGGCATTAGCAAGAGAACAGCGCGTGAACCAACATGTACATGTTTGCATACACCATTCATTTGCACTGCACTTCCTGGTTCAAAGTGACTTCACACTTTGTTACTCCATAGTCCGCAAATCAGGCCCAGGATACAAAGGCAGTCCAATTCCTGGGCCCCATTTATGGGGGCTTGGACATTAGTCTGGGAAACTACATGTAGCCACATCTTCCCCGAGTGATCACTGTTCACCACTTTCCAGGTTGGCAAGTCTTATCTGGTCCGAGCCAACTTGCCTCGTCAGGCAGGTGTTTATATCTGGTTTCTTGGCATTAAACAACTGAGAATATTTCTATTCCCCCTGGATGGGATACCAGTCCATCGCAGGTTGCTTCCCCACCTTATGCTGGTTCTCATTTATACTCCTGGGTGGAGAGAGGCAAGCAGGGGTGAAGTGGCTTGCCAAGAGCAATATCCAGCCAGCAGCTGAATCCAAACCTCCAACCCAGTGATTGGAAACCACAGATGCTAACCACTTGGCCACATGCCCCACTACTTCCCAGGCTGCACTGTGTATAATTGGGGCCTGATCCCTGGCTATATGGTGTTTCAGGTTACATGGCTTCAGACTAGTACCCCTGCACCACTGTGCACAGAGATTATGAAATAATGGGAAGAGCCATCAATACAGGGGTGGATAGTTCATTTGGTAACTTGGTAGAGCATCAGTGCGGTGTTCCACACGTCACAGGTTCAAATCCCCCTCCAGTCAATTTCTTTGTTCATCTGTATAGTCTAGGAGACAATGCACAGTATTATGAGATCCTTAAATCTTGAATGTCTTGTCAGAGAGAGAGAGAGAGAGGTGGTAAATTATTATTCATTTTTGTGTAATGATATAGAGCTACACGTAAATTATACAGTGGCATTTGTTTTTCATACAGGTATCCTTCGTGCATGCAATGTACAGTGTACCCTGTTTATACTGCATGCGTATATATATACAAAAACAGGAATATTTATAAAAACGGTGAAACCAGCATTACTGTTACCACATGGGAATTTTCCAGGCAATTGAACATTTTGTTGGGTTATGGATAGGGCTGTGCTGAGTATTCCAATATTTGATTGATTATCAAATATTCGAATATTGTTTTCTGAATTTGAATATTCAAATGCAAAATTCATGAAAAGGAAGGGAGAATTTTTCTTTTGTTTTAAATGAGAAAAGTTGCACTATTGAGGCTTGTTTCAAGCAGATTCAAATGAAAAGTAACAGAAATCTTACAATGATTCAAAAAGTAAATTAAAAAAATTTAGAAAGGATGAGAAGTTTTCAACCCGGCAAGAAGTATTGTTCGTCTCTTAAATTTGCTAAATTGTGGCAGGAGACACCCCATTTAAACATAACCATGTAAGAAATAAAAAAAGATTGTAGTCAAATTAAAGGTTCTGAAAGATGAAGTATTGTAGAAAATATAACCCTCTTTTTCATTCCCATAATTATTGGCCCACAGTTTTAGGTGCTATCATTGGCAAGCAGCAGGGACGAAACATTGAGGTGTTCAATTCCTTTGAGTTGCTCTTTGATTTAGTGTGTGGCGACATCATTGTGGACCGAGAGTACTACAACACCAAGGAAGAGCAATGTAAGACCATAATATCTAGTGCTAAACTAGTTCTCGCTGGTTGACTGTAGCAAGGTTTTATTGCTTTGGGAATACAAAACAAAGAATTCTTAAAACTCACTTATCACAATAAAACGACAAAAGCAAATAAAAGCCATCCTTGAACATTTTTACAACCATCCAAATTTCAATTATTTTAGACCTTTCACTTTCTGCCAATAAGATATCTTTGTGGTATAACATTTTGACTCCAGTGTAATCATATTTCATCTTAAGGTGTCACTGGTAAATGTACATTATTGTTATCCTGTTTATTGTGTAAGAACTAGCAGGAAATCCCTCTTAAGACTTGTCTAAGCTGGTGGCAGTTGCATTGCAGATTAACCAATGAACCATTCCTTCATAGATTGTTCTCTTGATCTGGGATTCTGGATCTTAATTCTGTGGCTTCTTAACTCTAACCTTCCCCAACCACACAGAATTTAACAGTAGTAAAGTGTTTAATTCTGTGGGGATAGGTCTGGTAGGCCCATAACAGCTGGATGTTGCATTGGGTTTGGCATACCTCAGAAAAACAAAGTCCAACAGCCTCTGTGCATAAAGTCCTATATGGGTGTGTAACTTTGTGTGAATGGAGAAGGTTAGGGCCAGCAACCCTTGGGGGGTTAGGGTTAAATGACCAAGTGTCTCGCCCAAGTTTAACAAGGCACTACAACACAAGAGGCAGAGATTGAGTACAGAGTCTGCCAAATTACCCCACACACTGAGTTGAGTGCATAAGACTGCAAGTTTATAGCACAGTACACCTTAGATCATGTCTAGTCTTTCTGACGGTGGAATATTGTGTCTCGCATCTTCTGCAGTTAAGCAAGTGTTCAGCGATCTTGACTTTCTTGGCTGGTACACCACCGGGGGACCATGCGATGCCTTGGATATCAAAGTGCACAAACAGGTTAGGTGATTCTCAAGCCTCGGCTGTCTTAAAATCTTACCTGTATTTTAGTTGGCAAACACACTGCAATTATTGCATACATGTAAACAGCAAATGGTATTGATGGTAGGGTTAGCCTTTCACCGATTATATCATAAAACACACCATTTCTGTTCACCCCCATTCAGAAATTTTATCTCCCGAAATGTACACGTACATGTAGCTGACGAGTTTCATTAGATGAAGCTTTATTGAGAAGTGATCTTGATGTATCACGAGGGAAACATCTGTCAAAGCAGACGGCAATCAACTATCAGCAATTACAATGTCCTGTAGACTACTTTATCTGATGGACAGTGGTCATGACCTGCAACTTTTATGTTATCTCTTTTAGATTTGTGCAATCAATGAGAGCCCCATTTTTCTGAAGTTGAATCCGTTGGCGAGACACACGGATGTAAGTACTGGATCGTTATTTGCTGTACCATTGTGTTTTGTTGGCCTCATATGCCCTCCTTTAAGTTAATTTACCCCAGACATCCTCACTATGCCTACAAAGGCCAGCTGTACACAGCTGTGTACTCTTAAAACTTTCCTTAACCACCGTGGAGTTCAACTAAACAGTGTTTTGTGCCAAGTCATACTGGCTGACCAGATCTATATGAGAGCTGACAGAGATACAGAAGACTGCATTACAAAGTGTTTCAAGGGGCATGTCTTATACTCAAGTTCAACCCTGTACTGAGTACACTTCATGAGCACTACTTGTCACTGCCAGGATATCTTGTTTGCACCATAAGTTTTTTTCAAAGACGTGATCAACCCACCAAAAATACTGATAGTAGACACTGCCTGCTTGGTCACAATTGGAGATCAACAGCTGATGATGTCCCATGCAAGAAACAGATTTCTTGCTGAATCTATATGCACATTAAGGACAGTTTCCAACAGAGACATTTTAACAATGTCAATCCATAGACCACTTTTTCCCAAGCATGAATTTAGAATGTATGGATGCACTTCCCACCATTTATTGCAGCAACTACCCATCAGCATCTACGAGTCAGTGATCGACCTTGTCAATGGGGAAGCCACAATGCTTTTTGTCGAGCTCCCCTACACACTGGCTACGGAGGAGGCCGAGAGAATCGGCGTGGATCACGTGGCCCGGGTCACGACCAATGAAACGGCTGAAAACTCCTCAGGTAAAATGAAACACTTCAAATGCAGCAAGAGTGATGTAGTGGGGATTCCATTTGGAACAGGTGGATTTGCAGTGTTCTAGAATTACCCCACCCCAGCCAGTCTAGTCTACTTTCCTAAGGCCCCCCCATCATCCTTCACAAAATCTAATGGGAGATTTTTTCATGGGCCCTGTTATACTCCCACTGTGAACTGACAGTCACCTTACAACAAAGTCTGGCAGATTTCACCACCTGCTGTGCACTGTATTTTAAGCACAGTTGGTCGTTGAATCATTTAACATGAAAATGACTCGGCATTTTGAAGAGTGGCCAACAACCATTCGTCACAAGCTGTTGCAATTAATTACCATTTTTAGTAGCAAAGATGTCGTACAGCAAATGGATACATGTTTTGAATCACGTAACAGGTATGTGTATCTAAAAACATTTTAAAAAAAATCACCATGCTTGTTGCCCAGATGTGCCAAATTTTGTCCCAACCACATCCAAAAAAATGTCCACCAACTTGGGATTTTTTTTGTCTGGCCAAATCTTCCTTCTCCCCCCCCCACAGTTCAAGAACAGCTCACGGCACAGCACAGTGCCATCAAGATGCTGCACAGCCGCGTCAAGCTCATTCTGGACTACATCAAGGCGGTCCAGGCCGGGGAGGTCCCGCACAACCACGAGATACTCCGCGACGCCTACAGCCTGTGCCACATGCTGCCGGTCCTCAGCTCCGAGAGATTCGACACGGACTTCTATAATGTAAGCTGCTCAGATGAGGGTTGTGGCAAAGGACCCAGGCGACAGGGTCAAGCAAATAGTAGTCTTGAAATCCACATGTATTGACCTTTATCGTGACGCTGCCATATATGTCTTGCCCCTGTATACCAAATTACAAAAGTGATACAACTTTACAAGTTGATGAAGCGAAGCAGACCTTTTTTTTCCCTGCCCCAGTTTGGTTACATTGCTTTCAATGGCACAAAACAAGATGGCTGGCTCATAATAAAGCTCTGTGTACACAGAGAAGTGGTAACAATTCCGTGCATTGAAAAATGTAAACCACAATTGTATGCTATGGAATTGTTTACTCCGAGAGCAGAAACCCTGCAGAAACCTGAGCAATATTTTTTTCAAAGATGCCAGGTTGAGACTGCACATTCAGGCAAATCAGCAGTCGCATTAGGTATCACATGATAGTGTGGCTGGAGGACTGCTGAAGTAAGTGTGGATATGCCTTCGCATGTTTTTAATTCTTCTGATAGGGTACCACTGCCGTTGTGGACGGTCATTAGCATAATTTTTTTACGCTAAATCATGGTTTCTGCCTACCGGTATGCACAATTTTGCACAACATACTGCCTTCCGTCACCACCGTCCATCAGCAGTTGTGCAACAAAAAAAACGTTGGTTGCATACTGGAAAAGAAGGCTGAAGTTTGCACTCTAGTCCTGGTTCCCACCAGTACTTAACTTTCTGAAAAGTCTGTGCAGCTTAACCACTTGCCGCCAGGGTTGCCCGTACCGGACAGGTATTCTTTATATGCGTGGCCGGGGTCCCCGAAATCGGACAAAGGGAACTGGGTCTTATAACAAAAGACCGTACTCGTAACAAAAGACCAGGCTGCTGGGCATTACTAACACTTGTTCACTCTCAATAGTCAAGATAATCTAGCCTTGTTTTGAAACAGTATACCACCACAGTTTCGGGCATTTAACGCGAGCGGACTACCACCGGGGACAAAAGCGCTCTTACACCACAACCATGAGCCACACAGTACCGCTGCACGCTCATCCCATCCCAGCATCATCAATATTCATAAATGCTCCTGGTGCAAAGTGGTTAACCAACCCAATCATTACAAGCAGGCATGCTGGCATATAAAATTCTGTTGGACACCTGGCTGCTGATCTCCATGTTAACTGTGTGACTTTTTTTTTCCTTTCAGCAATGCAATGACGTATCCCTGATGGCTTACTTGGGCACCATTACCAAGGGATGTAACACAATTAACCAGGTGAGAATATCAGCACGATTTGACATAACAGAGGGCCTCTAAAACTCATGATGACTTGTTTTTATTTCCCCCACACAGCAAGTAACAGTGTTTCTAACATGTTCTCAGTTTAAAAAGGCTGTTCTAGATGTAACTCGCACATGCACAGAAAATTTCACCCATGTGCATTTAGGCATTCACAGTGGGAGCAGTATTTGGTTCCAGTGAGAATTGACTCTGTTAACCACTTCACGCCGGGCCCATTTATCCATTTTGATTCTGCTGGGCCGGGTGACTTTTCATTTTTTTCTGTTGTCAAAATTCTTTAAAAATTCATAAGTTCATTTATTGGAGTTTACACCCACACGAATGACTGTCGGGTGGCTACTCTAATCTGACAGACTGCATCTCCCAGGTATTGACACCAGAGTATAGCCACAGATTCAGATTTTGGCGTGTGCTGGTGTCTCAACACCGAGACTCATTCTTGAATAAGGACTCTAGGGACTCAGCTCAGACACTCAGAGGTGGATTTGACTGCCATACTGATGTTGTTTTCCTGCATCACTTCGAAGAATCTGTTTTGTTTCATTTCATTTGTAGTTTGTCAACAAATTCAACGTGCTGTACGACAGGCAAGGCATGGGTCGGCGCATGAGGGGGCTATTCTTCTGACAGGATGAGCCACATACTGTATGTACATAAACGCGCACAAGCTTGTAACAGAAAACAGGGGTCCTGCCTCGTTGGGATAGCAGTGTGTGCTTCATTGGTGAATCATCTATCCCATAGAGCCTACGTACTCGTAGTAAAGGCTGGTTTCCATAAAATGGCAAGACACAAAGAAGGTGTGTATTGTCCCACCAGATTGGGCTGACGGTGATGTCAAGTCAGCAGTATCTAAGACCATGGAATCATCATTATGTACACCATTGGTACTCTGTTACCAGTACCAGCAATGAGTTCATGTCTGGTGCCCAGAGTTGTTTATGTTGATAATTTAACACAGCCCTACTCTGGAATATAGTGTCAGATTTTGCATTGATTCGGCTATTGAAATGTCGCTGCATCAGCAATGATTAGTTGTATACAGTGTGCATGTTTGCACACAACACTGTGTTTGTAACTTTTGAGTGTCAGTTTTCGCATTGTCTGTGACCTTTCTTGCATCACTTGCAAGGGTCGGGAAGCTAAGCTGTAAATTCATAAATTCAATGAGAAATCCCATAGATTGGAGGGGTGAGATTGACCAATGATAAAAATAGCTGAAAACAGCTGAAAAAAGGCATAAAGAAGCTAGTAAAACACAGCCACAGCCAGTACACGGCCAGTGAGGAAAAAAAGCTAAAATCCCAAACAAAAAAAGCTGAAATCAGCTAAAAAGCTGAGAAATCTCACCCCTGAGATTGGGTTCAACTCTTTACACATCTCTCCTTATACAAAAATCTGGTGTGTCAAATCCCTCAAGAACAATAACCATTACTTGCATCGTAGTTGCAGGCATTTTTGAGCACCGAGTCAAGCTTTCGGTCCTTGGCATTATCAACTGGCGTTGGAGTCCAGGTTCATGGTTTTTCACTTGGAATTACTCTTGACCTGACTCAAGACTCCTTATGAGAACATCCAATTCCGTAATGCCGGCATTCAAATTTTTGGTTTCAAAACTGAAGACTTCCAAATGACCACAAGTCAGAGATGAAAGCAAAGTTTGAAAGTGTCACTCAATATACCATATCCAGTAACGGCACTTCTAACAAATTGATATCACTTTATGGTAGGACATGTAATTCCGTGGTGTTATTTGAATCAACTTATTGCTCAGTTATGATCCTTCTGTGTATTGGACATCTAACTGTCCTCTGTTGAGCATAAATCACATTTGTGTGTGGTTCAACCAGTTTGCTCCTATTTCTGACACATTAAATGAATGTGACAAGGGCTGATATATACATTTTCAGTTGTCCAGCTTTCTGAATAGCGGAAAGTTCATAGTTGGATGAAATCTTTGCGGAACACTCACTGCTGGTCATGCTGGATGTGTTATCGATACATGCTGATAGATTAAAGGCGCTATGAGCCCCGAGCGCAACCAACAGAGAGCGCACTTTTTTTAGCAACAGAGACTCCTTTGGTGAGAACTGCACTTTGCTTGTTCACAAATGACTATGAAATTCGTGCTCAAGGCGGCTAGTCTAATCACTGTGTCACACACTGTGTGTTTTTTCTAACTACAAGGGGAGTTATGTTGGCATAGCGTTTCTTTCCTTGACTTGCACCTCTGGGGGCCTAGGTTCGAATCCGGGGCGGTCCACATGTGGATCGGGTTTTCAGTCCCTACCTGAGTCCGTGGGTTTCCCCTGAAACATTTGTCAAGGGTTTTCCTCCTCCTCCAAAAGTGAGCAATTCTTCATTGTCTTCTTCACTCTTTATCATCCTGTAAATGCCGCCAAATGCTTTTCCCATTAACCCTCCTTTGGTTTTACAGCACAAATATGCACAAGTGCCCAAGGTCACTCTCTTGCATGTTGGTGCAATGCACAACATGACACAGTTGTGCTTCTTTGAGGTGTTTACCAAGTGACCCAAAGAGTGACTTCAGCATAGGAGGGTTAAGCTGCACAAGGTGCATCATAAATGTGTCCACGGCACTTTTCTGCTCTCAGTTAAGGTTGATACCACTCACTGCGTGTTGCCCCTCTGCCAGATGCACTTGTAGGTATGGCAAATGTGCCAGTGCATGCCATTCGTTCAATATAACCAATACAGTGTGGTTAGAACTGTGTTCGTTGGAAAAACTGTTGGTTTTCAGTGAAAAAGAAGGGAACCTTACATTACAGTAAAATAAGTTAACATTTCTTTTCATGAGCTGTTACATGTTGGCCACACCAGTTCAAACTAAATTTCCATGCCATTTCTTAGGAAACCGCAACTCTGGCTTAGTGCACCAATCCATCTGTTACTTGGCTAAAGATATCTGAGATGGCAGGAAACATTATCAAAAATTCTAAACCACATCTTTATGTACGTTCTATGTTTCACCTGAGAGGCATGCATGTGAAACATACATGTAATTTGAGGCATTGTAAAGTTTCAGAACTCTGGCCTGGATTGAATGCAGCATCTCTTGGTTTAGTGTGGGATGATGTGCCATGAAGCCACATGCAAGCTCTTTGAATTTGACATGGAAATTTGAATAGTTATTACATACATGTAGTGTGTAACGACTTGTGTTTGGAATGGATGGAAGATGATGTTGCAAGATGAGAATCTAACCCAGTCTTTGCCAATGGTTGGCTGAGAGGTTTCATAAGGAATTTCTGTCAACACTGTTACCTTCACTGGCACATGTACCGGTTCATCCATTTTATTCAAGTGGGCAAAAATTTTAATTGGCACTGTACTGTAAAGCAAGGTTGTATCACTTTGGACATGTACTTGTAAATGAAAATTGGTAGGGTTTGATGTTTCCACATACTCCTAACAAATCGCTCTCAACTGTGTGCATAGTTTTACACAAAGATATATTAATTTTATTCCATACATGGAGGTACTGACAAATTATACACACTTTCTTTCACAAAAAAAGTCTGTTTTCACAGTTACATGTACCATAAAATAAATTTACAGTAAGTTTGTGGACTGCATGTAGAGTACTGAAGTGTGACGTCACTGTGAACCAGAAAGTGCAGTGCAAACGAATGGAGTACGCGTGTGTGTTGGTTCACACACTGGTTCTCGCGCTAATGCCTTTTACACACTAACTGTGCACGTGACGTATTCACTTTGGTACTCTGTACATGAAGTATGCACGTGGCAGCACCATCATGCTCTACATGTTAGTCAAACTATCTGTGTCAATTGCGTTATTCTTCTAAAATTATTTCGTTTCTACAGTAGGTTTTCACAATATTCAAACACAAACCAAAAACAAATACTGACACTAATACAATGAAATCATAACTATGTGACAAAATGTCAGAATTGTACCAACTGGAGCTACTAGAATAGAGCCGATCTGAACCGATTCATTTTGACTTTTGTAATTCCAGCATGTACAGAGGCACCACAACTTGACAAGTACAAACAACTCACTTTTTTCACACTCACAATGTCACAAATGTAAAGAAATAAAACCTTTTGAATGTTATATTGACCTTGTCTTTATCAACTGATGCACTAAAGGAAACAACATCGCTCATTTTTTTATTGGGTATTCATTGGGGTTTTTTAATCTGCTGCGCGCCTCCTTTTTTTAAAGATCACACAAGAATGCATTTCAGTACATTTTTTGAGAAATGTTTTATAAATCCCCTGTTTATGCTCCTTTTAAAACATCTTTACACAACCCAATAACTTTTCTTTAGTTTGTATCGCCTGGTGCAAAACACTTCAGTCATGTACTCTGAGAAATTTCTTCAGCTGTTAACTTTCTTTGCTTTTTGGCCCCAGTTTTACATACTCTGTTTTTCTTGTTTGTATTTTAATATAGACAGTGAGCCCACTAATTTATTTACATACTTATAATAAACAAAATATACAAAGTTTCAAATATACACTTGTACAAAGCACACACATATATTTTTGGTTGATTTTTCCAACGGATGGCATGTTTGCATTGGTCACTCCTTTCTTCAAAGACTGGTCCCTTTTCTCTGAATGCATTTTAAATCTGTGGCAGTACCAGACAATGGCTTTCCATGCAGTGAGCAGAGAGTCACAATGCATGACTAATTGCAGTAAACTCATGAAAATTGATGTCAAATATTAAGTTTACTGTAGTGTACATGTAAAAGCTGAGCAGATCACATTTATTCTGTTACAAAAAATACTTTAGTACACTTTGTCTCGTATGAAATTTCAAATGCAAACAAGATATCTTGTACAGAATGTGCACACTGCAATGTCAGCGCAATTATGAATATTCATCACCTGCACGTATACATGCACTCTGTGCATAGATCTCCTTTCCTGCATGGACTCACCTGATCTGGCCCACCGAGAGGGCGTGGCTGGTGCGCGTCTTGCCGCCTTTGACCGATTTTTGCTTGCTGTCGACGCTGGTGAAACAGGACCATCGTCGCAGAGTCTCATCCGCAGCAGCTGACATGACCATGGTTTGGTCGGGCGACAAGCACATGGACAGGATGCGATTGGTGTGACCTGGAAATGCAAATGCACAATTCTAACTGATGGTTTTTCCCCCACAAGTGAACTCAAATCCAGTGTTGCATTCGAGTCCTTCACAAGTCCAGTCACAAGTCCCTTCACAAAGCTAACCATAAGTAACAGGGCGAACAATGACAAAAGAATGCTTTTGTCACAGCTCATCTGAAAAGCTTGTGAGTGAACTTGTGAACTTACAGGCACTTGTGATGGGCTCGAATACAACATTGCTCACATGTATGTACCGGTGTGTGTACATGTAGTCTTGTCACTCAGATATGTGTTGAAGTTGATTTGTCATAAGGAAAATCTCCTCATCTCTCAGGGATCCAAGAATGCCATTTCCCTGAAATAGACCCAAGGTGGAGTTAGGCATGTTAGGAGGGTAAGCCATTTTATCTCCAGGATAGGCTCAAGTAAACCTAAGGTGCATTCATTGGAACTACATTACAACAGCAAAGAGTAGCCTGTGATACAACCCCATGTTTCTTTTGGCAGTGGTTTATAATTATACCATATCCAATTCTTGAGTCTACAGCTACGGTAAGGTCCTTTGCAGTTGGAAATGCATGTATGTGTTTAGGCATAGTTCTGGAAGTAAGTTCTGGATGTGACCATTCAGTGGTTTTGGGACAGCAACTGGATCCTACCTTTGAGGTCAGCAATGCGTTGCATCATGGGATACTTCCAGATACTGAGCTGGTACTGGGCAAAGCCGTGGCTGGATATCAACTCCTTGTGTGCGGCAGACCACAGGATGGAACTTACCTGAGAATATACACAGATATAGGAATCCTCTCAAACTGTCAAATATTTACACGAACCCATTGCTCAAGTTTCATTTTTCAACTATTGATGAGTGTTTGGTCCTGTGTGAAGCCTCGTTCATACTTGGTTCAAACTCTGAGGTCAGATCAAACATTTGAGCCGCAATGTTGAAGCGTTGAAAACATATCAACTTAAGTGAATTTCAGTGCCAATTTCTCAATGTTGAATGTGCTTCGCTTTTGTTTCCACCTGAAGGATAAATCGGCCTTAGGCTAGAGGTTGCAGACAGGCTCCACCTTCTGGATGGTTTGAGTTACAGGTTTGCATGGCCAACTACGTTTAGTGCACTCCATGAACAATGTGAAACAAGTCATTTTACATCCACTTGGCTGCTTCATTTATAATCTTCTGGAAGACGTGAAAAGTCCACGTATAATTCCTCTCTGTGAATCTGTCTGATTCATGTACTCTTACCGCAAAGCTCAATCTAGTCCCAGATTGGACACTGTAGATTCAAATGTATACCAGCATTCAAGTCAAGTTTGGGTTGTCTGATTCCGTCAGCACACCAATAAGCCATTTGCGAGTTAATTATGAATAAAATCTGGTACACCAAGTTATCTGATTGCACATAAACATAACAATTTGAATTACCCAGACTAAAGACACTGTTACAGTGGAATGCCACCATAATGAACAAGGTGGGGTGCATGCTAAATGTTTGGTGCAGCAGTCGTTTGGTATAGCGAAATTAACTGCCGAACGTTTTGTTGGCATGTTGAATAGGGCCTTCTCTTGTCTAATTGAAGTGCACCCTCTTGATGATTCGCTGGTTTTGTAATGTTTTACCATTGCATTCACAGTTGAGGTTTCTAGAAATGTATCTGTTAATTATTTTTGTTTTTTATTAAACCTTGAGTTACAAAATTGATGTTTAGTTTATCCCGAAAGTCGTGTAGCTACTGCTCAGGATCGATCTCTGAAGCATGCTGTAGCCAATCTCGGTTTTTTGTAACTACATAGTGTTCAGTAGGTTTTGTGCACAAAATATTGGGAGCCAAGGACAGTGTTCGGTACAGCCGAATGTTCAGTATAGCGACGTTCCACTGTACTACACCTGATTCGAGGCAAGCTTTTGCACAGCAACCACAATCTCTGGAATAGACTGGTTCCTTTGTGCCCTTCTTATCCAATGAGCAGTGTACATGTATTGTTGCAAGGCTTCTTTTATGTAACTAAGCTTGCCCTGAATCACGAGGTATAGGAATTGTGGCATTAGCATGGAGAATTCAAATTGTTTTGTTCACGTGGATTAAAAGAACTCAGTGTACCAGATTTTATTCAAATGTAACTCGCAAAAGGCTTATTGCTAAAATCTGAGTTTAAATCTGGCAAAAAGTCCCATTCTACAGGTAGGTTTGCCTTTTGGTAAATGTCAAGGTGAGGAAAGAAATAAGTAGAGAGATGTATATGTTCACAGATCTTTGCCATTTGCAATGTAATTCTGGATAGCTGCAAATGATCCTCTGTGATTTTCAAATATTTTCAATTTGTTGTGAGCCCAGAATGGCTAAAATGCACTGTTCTCTCAGTCTTTGAAAATACGAGAACAATTGGCCTTAGGACGGACAGCCTAATTCTTGTTGATGACACGTTGCAATGACAGGCAACATTCATATGTGAGGTGCAAAACTTTACAAACAGTTCAAACGCATACATGGGATATGAGGGTATTTCTCACTTTGTTTTGTGACCGCACACGTTATCTGCCACTTATTTGTGGTGCATCTGATGGTGTTGATGTCATTTAATACCTGTGATCCCGTGTCCACGCTGTTCAGACAGAGGCCGGTGTTGCAGTTCCAGAAGCGGATGGTGCGATCGGCCGTTCCTCCACCACTGGCTAGGATGCTCGGTTGCCATGGGCACCAGGCGAGAGCCTGCCATGAAATGTCCAAACAGCAGTCACTGCTTTTTCATTTTACATACATTTCAAACATGATATGTTTAAATAATGTCGGCTTTTGTTTGGTGTAACATGGATTGTTAAGGGCTGCTGTGTGGTTATTCACCAGCTGTAGCCTGCATTTTCGTTTGCATATTCAGCGGGCTTTGAATAGTCAAGGATGGAAAAAAAATTATAACAGTCAAAAAACAGTATAATTGGCCCCTTTTTATAGCACTCTATATCAATGGGACATGCTCACAAATATACTACTAGTATTGCTAACTTAAACGTGGTATATGACGCAAAGCACAGTAAAAAGGACCCAGTCAAGTTGGTAGTGTTTTCCCAACGGTTATCAATTTCTTGAATGTTTCAATACCCAAAAGCATTTGATACATGAATTGGATGTAGTTTGAGTGAAACAACAGAGCACTTTATGTCCCCATAAGCTTTGTATGGAAAACAACACCACCAAATAACGAAGACGATCATTGCCGTCTATAAGCAGTGAAAATATATGGAGGTTGTCAACAAAGTCATTCACCTTTACTGCAGCCTGATGCTGTGTTAGGGAATATAAGGGGGCTGTTCCTGTTCCAGCCGCGGAGGCCCACACGTTAACCTGGTTGTCGTTCCCCCCACTGGCGAGGTATTTGCCGTCGGGGCTCCACTTGAGGCCGCAGACCTCCTGGGTGTGGCAGTCAAGGGTTGCGACATGGTGGTCCGCCACTCGCACGTCATGGTGATGGATCTTGCCCGTGCGCGACCCACTGAGCAGAGGGACAAAAATTTCAATTGGTAGCCTCGAAAATGCCATCTTGGGTAAATTTCTGTTGCTTACAAAATTTGGTGCCATCAGCAGCCAAATTCACAAAATGTGGCGTAACTTTGAACCAAGCGTAGGCCTTGTGCCACAAATTTATGCCGCAGCTCTACAATATGCTTACGTTCGATTTCATGAAAAGCTGTGAAGATGCACCACGTTTTAAAAATATTAAATTTCTTGGACGAGGACAAAAAAGGCTTTTATGAAGGCTGTTCGTATCCAATATAACAGCAGTCATCAAACAGTCGTTGAATCACATCTGCATGCCATTTTGAAAAAGTTTTCCTCTTTTCTTTGTCAGAACCAGACAAGTTTTGCAGTTTTCTTACAGCAAAACAAGTTTATTATTACCTTCTAGAACAAAGTTGTTGTTTCTCGTGTAATCCGTAAGTTCAGCAATGATGAGGCTTAATTGGACCCAATAAGCAAGTCAAATTGTTCATTTGCACTTCGTTTGGCGCAACTTACCCCACCTAAATGACTAAAAAGGTGCGCCTTAATTTGTTGCATAAGTCACAGACTTGTGCAGTGTGTAGTTTTCATGAAATTGGTCTTAATTTGTTGCTCAACTTATGCAATAAAATATGGTGTAAGTGGAGTTATGCCATTGTGTAAAGTTTCGTGAAATCGACAGCAGGGGGCATGTTTTTGTGACCTCTTACCAAAGATATGTTTGTAAAATGCATGCAATATTGCAGGAACATATGTTGAAGGCAGAATGAAACGGTGCAGAACCAGAAAAAATTACATTATCTGAAAGATATAGAATACAAGCCGGCAGACGACAGCGTCCATATTAGGTGCATGTAAAAACCTCTTGCTTATTCTGCTGGAACATTTTCAAAGTAACTGGAAGTATCAATAGAAATTTAGTCAGTTACAGTGAATAATATCTTACAACCAGCCTCATGGAAAAAGACAATGCATGTATATCAATATGAATAATTCTAGAAAAAAGATTAACTGTACAGATTATACACTGTAACTAATCTGTGTACCTTGTGAGGATGAATTCATTCCATGACAATGAACCTACACGTGCAGCGTGGCCGTCCATGGTGCGAAGGCATTTCGATTTCTCAACATCCCACAACTACACAAAGAAATTGCAGTAAAGCTAAATGAATTCCCAAAACACATGGGAGAGGTCGGCAAATAATAACAAAAGCTCATTTGCGCAAAATGCAGATTCAAGTCTCGTGCATCAACCAGCATATACTTATCCTGCCGACATTGTCAAACACGCCTTCTTTTCACACTATTGACCCCCATAGACACTATTAACTGTTCAGATCATGCACCCTGAATTGCTGTAAGTGAAGTTTTACTACATGTATATCACAAGTACCTCTGAATGTAGAACTGGACCTTAGTGTAAATGTGACCCACTCTGTGCAAATGAGTCTTGAGCCACCTTTTGAGTTTTCATGTGTATTGGAAAGAAAAAAATTGAGCTTTTTGTTTTGATGCATCACTCAGTTTTACTCCAAAGTGGCTCTGGTGACTTAAGACTCGTTTGCACAGAGTGGGTCATGAATACGACAGAAAAGAAAGGGAAGAAACTTTTTTAAAACACCATTTGACAACGAACTCATGCACTTCCTCAAGCTGATGTTACTAGTCCAGACGCTGTAGAAAATTGTCAGCAACTGGACTAGAACCAACATATCGTATTGAGGTGCAGGCAATTTTTGCTTGTTTTATTTCCCCTAGAGCAGCTTTTTACTGTAGCTATGCCAAAAAATGTTGTACTCCCCTCTCAGATGGGTTCAGTCAGACCCTGCAAAGATTTTGGGTCCATTTTGATTCGTTATCGTGCAAAAAAATTACGATATCAAAGAGAAAAAAGGGAGGGGAAATGAAAAAGGGAGATGTCGGGGATGAAAATCACCAATTTACTTGAAAAAAACTTAAAATTAGTCCTTTCCAGCTGTTAACTGATTTTATTTTTAATGATTATTAAGATGAACAAAGAAATTGACTGAAGCAAGATTTTAACCTGCGACATCTGGAACACTGTACCAGTGCTCTACCAACTGAGCTATCCAGCCCAATGTTGGTGGCTGTTCCAGAAAGCCATTAAACCTGAAACAACATGTAGCCGGGGATCACACCCCAATGACACGATACAACCTGGGACGCGGTGAACAGGGATCACTCAAAGAGGCTTTTTGAACATATTTTATGGAAAAAGCTATAAAGGGAAACTGACTAGGTGCTTATAAATGATTATAAAGATGAACAAAGAAATTGACTGTAGTGGGATTTGAACCTGCAACCCCTGGAACACTACCAGTGCTTTACCAACTTAGCTATCCAGCCCTATATTGTTGGCTCTTCCCATTTGCCAATATCTCTGTTTGTTCTTCTTTTTAGCCAAGTGCTTTAGCCCCTTGAAACTGTTTCCTGGGAAAAAAGTGGTTTGCCTCTCCCCCTGAAAAATCAAGCAACGCCCATGTTAACCAAGTGCCTCATCACAGGCCAACAAGTACCTGGACTTGTCCCTGTGCGTTCCCCGTTGCCAGGACATTGCCCTCCTTGATCCAGGAGACACTACAGAGGTAGTCCTCAGGGTCATCCAGCTTCAGGAGGTGCTCGACGGTCCCGCTGGAGGCAATCCACAGATATAGATCGTCGTGGAGTGCCACAGCTAAGAGATTCCTGGAACCCCAGTCCACCAGGTTTAAGTCTGTGTAGGGATCGGCAAGGAGAATTTCAAACTTCATATTACTAAAAAGCCTAGAGTTAAGACATTACAGCAACTTTTGATTATTCGGGTAACTTTTATGGCAATGTGAAGACTTTACAGTAGAACACAAACTCGCACTGAAGCATTCCGTTCAACAAATTCCTGTAATGGGTGCTTCATACACAAAGGGATCGTTTCATTCATGGATATCAAATATATCAAATTATATCAAATGAAAATTGTTGAGCAAATGTTAATTACACACTTTACAAGTTAATGTGTATGTTGTGAAGGGAATTGAAAGGTTTGAAAAACTCCTCCACCACAAACAGATATAATCTGTTTTCTAGTCCCCCCGAAATGAGTTCCACATTCTTACAGAAGTCGTTTCTCAGCCCGGGCGCATCCAGGACATTGTCGGCAGTCTTCGGGATGTAGCGTCCTGCTTTGGCCTTTGTCGTGCTGTCGCACTTGGAGCTACTGTACAACACCTTCAGGTTGTTGTAGTAACCTGAGTGGACAGACAGATAAGCTGGAACAAGTTTAAACACAGTCTAGTCAACACAACAGACTGTCAAGAGGGGATTCATTTTGACGTTTAACCAACCAGACACTGCACCCACCAGTGGTGAAACTAAGAGGGGGGCAAACCCATTGAAAAAGGTGGCCATTTCCCTCCCATACTTTCTAGCAAGCCATTGGAGGTATTGAACAAGATTGACACCCCCACCAGAAATATCTTGGACCTACTCCTGTTCTGGCTCCCTCCCAACTTTCACAACCATTCCAGCCCTACTGACTGTAAGCAGTTTCCCAGTCTGTGTTGAGGCATTCTACTTAGATGCTGCAAGTACGTTGCAGAGCCATGTTGCATTTGGGATTTGCTCAAACTTTACGAGGAACTATAATTATACTTGACATGCACTTCAAAGGCCAGACGGCATTCCTTGGCCCATACGTGATACTTTTTAGCCTGAAATTTTCACTGAAGCATATAATGAATAGATCCGAAAAAGGTACAGAGGTCAACCCGTGTATGCAAAAAACGATGCCAGGATTGATTTTGATTTTATTTTCAATGGTTGTTAGAATATTTAAGTAAAATGCTTCTATTGGGATTTACTTGACTTGTGGGTCACAATGACAGCATTGCCAGTGGTTTTGGAGACAGCTGGTGACAAATTCACAAGTTGCATCACAGTGATAAGCCAGCCTCTAGATTATTCAAGTCTATTTGGTTTAAATATAAACATTTCTGCAAAACTGAAGTCCTTACTTCATGCAAACTTGCTGGGGTGAACACAGAACATGTGGCAGCTTCCTGAGAGGCCTATTTCATAGAGCTGCTTAAGCACAAAATATGCTTAAGCACAAGAAAACCTTACTTGATAAATCAGGTAACCAGCCAAAACTCCATGTGATGTATATTGTTTAGGGATTGTATTTAGCTATTTTCTGGTTAGCATGACAATCAGATAGAGTTTGAGCTGGTAACCTTTGTTTATTATGCAAAGTTTTTACCCACTTAAGCAAATTTTGTGCTTAAGCAGCTCTATGAAATTGGCCCCATCTGTCTATGTTAGACACTCTAACATAATGAGAAAAACCTACAATTTATCATTACTTATTTACCTTGAAGTTTGATTCCAACAAGCCAAAGAAAAAAAATACTTGACTTCTCCCATCCAAACAAATGAAAGCACTATGGGTGACACAAGCTCACCCTTATTTAGACCCAGCTTAGTCTACGCAATGTTCATGCAACCTACTTGTGAGGACCTGTTTTGTTCTCGGTTCCACACAAGACATGCCGATTCTCACCCTCTTGGGCCTTGGGCGGTTTCTGCTTGAGTGTCAGGATCTTGGCATTCTCCGTCTGTTTGCCGCTCAGCATCTCCGAGAGGGTGCTGCTGTAGGCCCTCCCCTTCACATCCTCTCCTTCCTCTGGCTCGTCGTCGTTGTTGATTCGGAAGTTGCTGAAGTCCAGATCCATCAGGGCACGGTTTGGGATGAACCTGGGTTTGGATCAATCAACAAGTGTCTGTGTAAATTAGAGGATTGCAGCCCTAAAGAATGGGATCCATTTTCAACTTCTCCCCTTTTGTGTCAAAGAAAAAGCCGCAAGGGTCTGAATTCCTAATTTCAAGAAAATACCGAAAAGCAGCCACAACCCAACTACAAAACTGGCAGATCTTTTTTTTTCAGGAAAATACTTGCCATGCAAACGCCATATAAGGCGAAGCATAACCATTTTGGGGTTTTAAGCTCTTGAAGAACACAAAAGTAACCTGCAAATAAGAAACTGCATAAGTAGATAATTCTATTAATCTTTTAAAATTATCAAAACTTTTCTTTACTAAATGAGTACATATTGCAGCCCAGCTGAATTGTCCTTCATGTCTGTCTTCTTTGACAGAAAATTGTGCCTGAAAAAATTGTGTCCTGGGAAAAAAATATTAGTGTTTCACTTGTACATCTAGTGCATTCATTATTTCACTGAGGAAAACTCTTGGTGCACAAGAGTGTAGCCTAAATATCCCACTACCTATCTCCCTGGTTGCTGGGTGGCAGAGTAGCTGATGCGGGGCGCTTGCCAGTAGGGGTCTTGCTCTGCTTCTTGCCGGGGGTCTTGCTGGGGGTCTTGCTGGGGGTCTTGGCTGGGGTTTTGGCCCCCCGGAGGGAGGAATCCATTAGCGGGGTGCACTTGGGGGTTTTGGAGCGCGAGAAGCTCATGGGCGCTGGAGATGTCGGTGACCAACAACAGGAGTCTGAAAACATAATTGAGAGGGAAATAAGACACCGTCTGTGGGAACTGAGGGTGGCTAATGCGCCAATAAATCTCACAAATTTAAGCTAAAATTCGCTGCCAACCTTGCATGTGTGTGACGCTTCATGCTGAATGAGAATGCATATTGGTTAATTAAGCAATCCACAATGCATTTTTTCTCAAAGCTGGACAAGATTCTGTGAAAGGGACCAGCCCATTCAAGCACCCTGTACAGACGGTATGATCACGTGAATCACTGTTGACAGTGTTGTATAGTAGTGCTGTAGTTGAGATCATCATAAGACCTGATGCAAGACCAGGCACAAGACCAGTCAAACAACTAAAACAGCAATGCCGAATGAATGCTTTTGTTGCAGATGTGAGTAGCTTGTAACTTGAATCTGGAGGTCTTGCATTGATCTTGTGATGGTCTAACTGGCCCTTAAATGAAAATGATCTCGAGGGGTCTTGACTACAGCACTGATGGTAGCCCCTACTCTACATACCTTTGCGTTCCATGGCCTTTCGCTGCCAGCGGGGCACCGGTGCCCGCACCATGGGACCGTCTAGACGCACCAGCTCACTCACACTTGCCTCAAACTGGAAATGTGCCATCTTTACTGAGTACTTGCAGCTAGGAAAAAAAAAGAGCAACAACTTCTGAAACACTCCATTCCTTAAAAAAATAATGTTGGTCAGAGGAGGGGAAACTATATAGAGTGAGAAATATTTTTAACAGATTACAGGGGAACACTCATCAGTTTAAACAGTTACTGCAGATAGAATTTATTTGACACAATTTCTAATTGATGATTTTGAATCATTTTCAAAATGCCAAACGGGAAAACAGTTTGTTGAAAAATAGCAGGGTGTGAATTGAGTTGCCAATGCATGCTTATAAATCTAAGCCTACTTTAAACCATAAACAAGAAGGAAAATCACAAACCATTTTGGGTACACACATTAATTTGTTGAAAGTGTGCTGCCTTATGGAATTTTCGAATTCTGCCTGAATTGCTGGGCCGGAGTACTTATTATGGAAAAAATTTTGCATCCTGACTCCACTTCAGCAGTTGTGTACAAAGTCAACGGGGAGTGAAGAGAATTTTCAAAGTATTTCCCAACAACATCGGTAAATGTTTCTCAATCCAGAATTCATGTCTTGGTGAGAAAAGTAGAGTCAGGATGCAACATTTTTTTCCTTATGACGTCTGAAATTTCAGTTTTACACATGTTCTCTAAGAATGAGGAATAGTGGAATGAAACCAGGAAAATTTTTAAAAGGTTTGCACTCGAATAATTTTATGGGGACTCCACAAATTGCAATACTGCTCAGTTTCTGCTGCTTTCACAGGTTTGCAAATAGCGTATGCCCGAGGCTATGGGGATGGCTAGCCCAGGTTGGACGTTGTCTTCATTACGACTGACGTAGTATGGTCAGGGAGTCCACCTGGGCTAGGGAAGGCCGGCTTGGCATTGAAAGTTGCCTTACAACTTAATAATTGTGTCGAGTCTTTCTGGTGTTAGTGATTGTAGGAAAGCTTGAAGAGCATTTTGGATTACAAAATTTTTTTAATCATGGAGGGGAATAAAACACTCTTAACATATCTCACAACTTATTTTGCACTGCACGTGTTCTAGTTGGGTTTCTCGGTTCAGTGTCTCCATTTTACATGCAGCCTATGCGGTATCGTCTGGGAACCCGTTTAACACGTTTTCCTATTTCGAATTGAATTTCCGCGCGGTTTGATCACTACATTTGATTTTCGAATACATACAGCTGACCTCGATCGCAGCCTTTTCCGTGACTGCTGGTGTTAAGCTTTTTAAAACGCACAATAAAAACAAATTCACACATATAGTGATTGTTATACTGTAAAAACTGACATTAAGTTTACAAAATTTGACTCATTAATTAACGCGACTTACCATCAAGCGCTGGAATACATTACAAGTTCGCCCTCTTGTGTTAGCGCTTTTTTGTCAGCTGCCGGTTAGCTGCATGAGTGTTATTTCCCGACTTCTTTCCGCAAGTTGTCCACACATCTCACTAAGAAGTCTGTCTGAACTGAATATTACAGTCAAAACACAACATGCCGGCAGGGCATGTTGCGATCGATTTTCTGTGACGTAAGTTAATATGCAGCGGTAAACCCTGTCACTCAGTGGCACATCTGTTCCCGGCCGTTAAGTTGAATTTGTACTGTCTGGTCACAACCACAGATGTTCTGTCCATGAAGCCTGCGTATCAGCTGGAACTCGGACAGGTAATTTGTATTGCATTACTTTCATTACTAGTAAGCCCAAATTGATTTCTACCAAGGCACCATGCTTCCACTGGCAATGTAGCATAGCATATCACAATGTGTCATCATCAGTCAGGCCATGTTCAGGCACATACCGGCAGTGTCTGTTTGTGTTTGTGTTTGTGTTTCTGTTGCCGGCGCCGGCCCAGTGCTTTGGATTATTCATGCACTCCATCTGTCATGCTGGTAGACATGGATTATACATGTACATGATATGCAGATCAGTAATCGGGGCAAGATTTAAGTTAATTTAGTAATTAATTTAACCCTAACGCTAGGCCTAAACAGTCCTCAGTCCTCCGATTTCAATATGATTTTGCATACACCCAAATGAATGGTAATGACCACCTGTGCGTGGGTGGCTGTTGTGTGTATTAATGTGTTAGGCTATCTTAGTGCACATTATTTGACATTTTGTAAATTGTATTGGGTGCAGTTGGTTTATCTGCTCATTTTTTGCACAGTTGATCTTATTTATTGTATTACTTGTCTATAATTCTGACATCGGCCAATCACCTTTCCTCTCTGATTCACTGTTGTGGTATTGTTAAGTTCAAAAAGGAAACTACAGTTTGAGATCGCTTACAGGATTGGCCAGTTTAGCCAAACACATTTAGTTTTGGGCATACACTGACTGATGCAAGTTATTGTTGTGGTCAGCATGACGTCACATCAGCCTGAGTATAACACTAGAGCTGCCCTCTGTGGCAAATGGGGCAAAATCCCTTTGCTTTGTCCACATTGCATGCAGTTCCCCGTTGTCTGACGGCGGTCCTAAAATTTTGATTAGGAAAGCGGGCTATTTGGTCATCAGTTTACATACATCATAGCCTTTCCATGCACACTTTGTTCATGATGTCCATCCAGGATGGCTCCCATCAAGGACCTGGAAGGTGTCTGGGGCAAGCCAACGTCAACCCTGGACTGGTGTGAAGCCAACTATGTTGTGACCCCGTACATTGCAGAATTCTGTAAGTCCTCTTCCACCCTACTGCTAGAAACCAGAAGCATGGATATTGCCATGATTTTTTTCTATGGGAAGGGGGGAAGGAGGAGGGGTGAAAGGAATGATTAATGGCAGGAGAGGGTCAATTTGAGGGGGGGTTCAAGCTAATTTGTGCTGTACGTCCCATTTATTTCTCCTTTGTTGCCTCAATTTTGCCTTTTTTATTTTCCAATTCTTTTCAGGGATGCCTTAAATTGCACCATTGGGCACCTGTGTGCCTTCTTTCACTCTTCCTTTTTATGAGGTCGTAACGCCACATGGATTTTTTTAATCTGGCCTTGTTAGATTAATTAGTTCACCCATAGGTTCACCTTACAACTGCTTTTTCAATTAAATCTTCCCCCAGAAGCCATCCCAACAGATCCATATCTACATGTACATTGTAAGTGCAGCCTGTTTTTTTTTTTGAGATGGGATGGCAGCTTGCATCATTTGAATCACCGAAATATCGAAGGATCATTCATCCACATGTGTGCCTATGGTATCTTTGCACATACCATTCCTCTTATCATCAACTTGCCTGACATGTTTTCAACTCTCTAATCTATATGTGGGTGGAATTTTTCTTCAGTCCTCAAAAAGTCTACATCTGTGCCTGAATGCAAGTCCATCTTTTTTTTTTTTTGGCCCCTCCAGCCTGTCTTCCCTCCCCCCAAATTTCTAAACCCCAAAAGAAATTTCTTGAAGTGGGTTTTTGAAGTATCCAGGGAGGTTAATAGCAAGTGGCCTTTTTGCCAACATGCAACAGATTTGGGAGTGGATAGATTCAATCATCATTTTTCACACGTGTTACTCCTTTTCCCCAGGGAACACTGTGAGCAGCCTGGCGCTTATCTTTATTCCTATCCTGGATTTGGTTTACACGAAGTTGACCGCACCAAAACGGATCCATATTGAGCGGCGCAACTACATGGCATGTCTGGCCTTTGTCTGTGAGTCGGCCACTTTTTCCCTAAAGAGTCAATGACTTAAAATTTTACTTACGAATTTTCCTCTTAAAAGTGACAAAAGTATTTGACATCTCTTTTTGTTTGCCCTCACTGAAACGTTCACTTTCATAAATGTTTTCTGTNGGTTTTCATGACAAATGAGGGCGCTGTTACCGAGAGGTCATTAGAAGGCACTGTTAGTTTTGCAGGGCTTCATTTTAAAGGAGCGCGATAGCGCTCGCACTCCTCCGCGCTTCTTAATGTTTTCCAAGGAGAGCAAAAAAAAGCGCTCCTTAAAAATTTAAGGAGTGCATGGTTTTTTCAAACCAGCAGATGTTGATTTATGACAAGCCCCTTGAATCTCGTTGGGTCGACAGTAGCAAACAAGTCAAAAAATTGAATGTATTAAAACACAAGGGCTGGTGATCAAAGTCTTTGAGTTGTGCGCACGTGTTTTATGAATCCCGCACCGCAACACACAAACGTGATAGCGCATGTGGGCAGGCCTAGTGCATGTGGGCGAGCCTATGGAATTCCATGGACGCAAGTGGCCGTGCCCGGTTGACCTCTCTCCCAGAACGGGTCATTGTGAGTGCAGGAAGAGATGATGAATACAATCTGCAGTGGACGTGCAATACGTTTTAAAATACCAAAAAGAAAGGATGCACATGCGCAGTAAATTCAGAGCCCCTGTAGCGGCGAAATGGATTGTCGGGCGAGCGAGGAGACTAGTCAAGTTATGCGCTTGTCAATTGTAATCCCGGCCCTGGGGGACCCGGGACTAGCGGGGATTAGCGGGGCAGATAAAACAGGGCCATCATGATAGTCCCGGCCAAGTCCCTGTAATTTGCCTGGCCAGAGCGGGGCACCTTTTTTTGTATACCCCGGCTGGGCGTTCAAGTTGTGACCAATCCCCACACCATCCCTGCCCCATCATGCGGGGTTTTGTCGCAACAGCCGTACAACTGAAAATAAATAACTAATAACTTTCATTAATTTCTAAAAGTCCCCTACTCTTCTGGGTCATTGCTAAGATGACATCGAGTCGGTCGCCGTAAGTGCGGGTAAAATGCCTCCGAAATAAAGCAAAGCAAGGGGCAGCTGCTATAATTAACCCAAACTTTGGCGAAACATTCGTCCGCATATTTAAAGCGCTGGAATCAGGGGGCTGACGACCCAAATGGCTACAATCTTTCTTTGCGGACGTCTCAGAAATAATTATGGAAATTCATCCAATAGCAAAATCTGTTACGCGCTGTGTGGAGACCAATTGACCAATTGAAACACTCGTTATGTACATGTGGCCATGGCCAGTGCCAGCACATGAGACAATTAACAATTACCACAACACTTCATTCGTTTATTGAAGATTGATCTAGAAGATAACCAATGATCTGAAATGTGTTGCCAAAACAGACACGTGACCAGTACTACTTGGTTGAAAGATTAAATTACACACGTTTTAATCATTTAGCAGTCCATACNAAAGTGGCGACAATATTTGTAAAAAAAGAAAGGTCTGTATGTATTTTGCGTGCACTGATCCCAAAATGAGGCGTCATCTTTGTCAGGTTTTCATCTGTCAGGGTTGGGGAAACACTGTGTATTTCATATCGAAGCTCAATGCTATAGACAGTTTAATAAATTGTCCAACCCCTGCCAAGTCCCTGCTATCATCCCGGGTCAGCGGGGCAGCCATTGTACAACCCCGGGCAAGTCCCCGCTATCGTCCCGGCTGGTGGGGCACTTTTTTTGGGACATCCCCGGGTACATCCCCGCTACATTTTCGAAAGTCCCGGGTCCCCCAGGGCCGGGATTACAATTGACAGGTGCATTAACTCATTGAACTCAGTAAAAGAAGTTAAATTGTGTTAATTTTATTCAGTATGTTTACATTAACTTGGTTTTTTTTAGTGAGAGCAAATCGTTCCCCTTAATTCACTTTGTTGATTTAAGGAGAGCAATTTTTAATTGCTCTCCTTAAATCAACAAAGTGAATTAATTAATTATTTTTTAGCTCTCCTCGTATTTATTAAAATGAAGCCCTGGTTTTGGAGCTTTTTTGTTCAGATTAAGAACCCCAAATTCACTCATTGATACTGTTTGTGTGGCTTTCTTTAGCACAGAAAGGTTTAGTCATTTAGTGCAGAAAGACTGTTACCCCAAAGAAACAAGTTTCCATGTCGGTTATCCAAACCTTTGACTGTGCAAAACAGATGAAAACCAAACCTGAATGTGTTCTTCTTTGTTTTCAGCGGTCGGTCTTGGGTCCTGGTTCTTTCATATGTCACTGCTGTATGAAACACAGGTAGGAAAATGCCAAATTTTGAAACAATCCTTCTGTCGCAGCTGTGTCCCAAGATACGTGCATTTTGGAGGGGCAGGAACGATGGTTACATGTATTTCAAAACAAAGACCAGGGGCATCTAGGCAATCATCTCAGGTGCCTCTGTGAAGTTCCTGCCCTGCTGTGGGTTATGCCACATTCAAAGGAATTTGGTCCTTGCTTAGAAATCCCATACAGTGTGAGGATTTGCATTGAATTTGAGTGGGATGTACATGTACTGGTTGATTTAAAATTTTTATCACTTTTCTTTAATCCATTCCTTATCAGTGAATGTACCAAACTACTCCTCACAACATGCCTGTAGGTTCTTGGTAGCAGAGATGCCTTGGGTGACGATTTTATACTGAAAATCTTAAGAATTATGTACAACCAGATGACTTATAATTCACTATTCACATGTATGTAGTACCTGAGGGCCCATTGCAATGTAAATGTAGTAAATACACCTGCATGTGTATATTCCATTTAGTCTCATTTTCATTTTTCTTTGTTTGCCACTTTTAAGGGCATCTTGCTTCATTGGTGCCCCTCTGTCTTTTTGCTAGTGTAACTTTGCATATTCGTGAGTTAAAGTGTGATGTCATTCCAGGTAGTAACCAAAGTGTTAAAGCTACTTGAGTGCCCAACTTTGCCAGAATACTCGATATTTTGCTGTCTTCCAGTGAACAATTTTCTTGTCGAACAGTTTTGTGTTCAAATGTTGATCGTAAAAGTCTCCAACTGGACGGTGTCTACCTCGAATGATGTCACTTCAACAGAACCCTCATTTACCACGACAAATACTTAGTACATGTACATAAAAGTTTTTTATGCTTCATCAAGTGCACTTTTCAATACGATCAACCAAAAAGGGATGTCGAATAATTGTCATTCATTTCAGATGATTAGAAAGTTGTGCAAAATGTTTCCCCAAGTAAAATTCCTGTCAGGGGCCCTTTGGGGAGTGAAGCCCTAGATGAGGGCCTAGAGTTTTATTTTTGATAGAAAAAAATTCAAAACTGTTTTTTCTTTCCTTTTTCAGCTTTTGGATGAGATTCCAATGATTTGGGGTACTTGTGTCCTTGTGTATTTATTGTAAGTACACATTGTGCACCTTTACTCGCGTGAATAATGATCTATTTTCCCCGCTAAAAATATCCTTCTAGGCGTGGTAGCTTGTCTCCTCAATTTTCCCCTCAGAAAATGTGCTCTTAGCATTGATGGTTTGTCTCCCAAGTACTCCTTCTAGAAAATACCCTCCTTGGTGTGATGATTAGTCTCCTCTATTTTCGTTCTAAAAAATATCCTCTGAGCCGTGACGGTGAGTCTTCTCTATTTTCCCTGCCAGAAGAAAATCTTAGCCGTGATGGTTGGTCTCCTCAATTGTTCTTTCTGAAAACAATATCTTCCTAGACATAATGATTTGTGTGTATTAAAGACCACAAAGCAAACATTCTATCAGCAAAAACAAATCCTCCTGACAGGCCTCTCAGCCTCAAATGGGTTCACTCTCCTATTAAACCACATCCTATATACCCTTTTGTGCTGGGATAGACAATGTCTTACTAACTTATCATCTGATGGTCGAAAAGTTTTAGTCTGCATTAATAGTTTACAACGTTTGGCATATTGGGAGGTACATGTACGTGTATGTCCTTGGCTGTGTAGGGCCTTATGAGCACTCTTAACACCGGGGGCGTAAATGGCCAAGACAACAGTGCCATCTCATACATGTATGTACCCCCACTACTTTAACATGTGAACAGCTTCCTTGGTTTCTCAAGGACCAGAACTCACACACTCCAGGCCGTCATTTCTTGGGCAAGCTAACCACTGTTTCCATGGAAAGGGAAAACATCCAAGCTCTTGGCGATGCACATCAGTAAAACATTTTCCGCGGAGTTGGGCCCCTTGTCATCGCCAATTCACTGGACCCACACTGTATAGTATTGTACTACATTGGCATTGTATTTCTCAATCTGAAAGTCCTTTTTTCCCCCTTTCATTGCCAGCTTTGAGAATAATTCCAAGCCCAACAGCCGCAACTATGTCCTAGTGGTGTTCCTCGTTCTGTATGCCACGCTGATCACCGGTATCTACGTCCTAGTCATCAACCCAGTTTTCCATCAGGTATGGATACTGTCTGAAAAAATTTGTTTTTGAATAATAAGTTTTTGGCTTGTAAGGTTGAGTCAACTCAATTCTTGTTTGAATATTCAAGCTCCCATTCAATCCAGTATGCAAATACAACTCACGATTGGTTTATTTGCATGTTTAATTAAACATTAAAGTTCTGAAATTTTAATTGCTTGTTATTTATTCCTAAATGACATCTTTAGAATGTCGCTCTCCTAAGACACAGGTCTCTACGGTCTTTCCTTAAGTTCTGTAGCACGAATTGGTTTTCACTTGGAAGTCGAATATGGAATAAAACATGCACAAAGTATGTGGGCTTTGGAGCACTGAAAAACAAAATAACGTAAAACAAAATCAAAAATGAAAGAACAAGTACAGGCTTTCTGTTATGCTTAACAATTGATCTTGCCCGCTATGCATGAATCTGTACCTTCAAGTGGTGTGCGAACACTACGCGACATTGTTTTCTTGTAAAAGCAAGCCCCCTGTTTTGCATAAGGGAAGCCATAGTCATCAGCAGCCTTGAGCCTTCCCGCGGTCCTTGCTTGACCTGAATGAAAGGATACCTGGCTGTGAAAGCCTTGATTCTGTTGTGTATCTCTCAAGTGCATCCCAGCTTTGACCCATTTTGATCCATTGTACAGGTGGCTTTCACACTGTTGGTATTAGCAGCCCTGGTGAGAGGCGGATACTGTTTCTTCTATCTGTAAGTTACTTTACTCCACTTGCAAATTTAGGTAGTTTTGAAATCCTGAGTAATTTGCAGTCTGATATCTCTATCTCATTCAACATTTCAAGTTTTCTCTCTAGTCTCTTCCATTCTTTTCCCTATTAAATTTTCGACCTCCCCCACTAAAGCTCCGCCCCAAAATTTAAAAATCCTACCTGTCATTTTGCATTTATTTTACATCTTTTCAAAACCCAGGAGCCTGTTGAGGAGCCTGATATTTAAATCTCATATCCTTCTGTCTGGGCTCTAAAACAGTATTGGTAGAGAAGATCGCATGTACATGTATGCTTTAGAGTCGCTTGCCTTACATGTACATGTATTTCCTCCGTGGAAACTGCTCATTGTTTCTGTTTCTGTTATGGTCTGCATTCACAAATATCCCTCTGGAAAACTGGGAAGCTTTCTCATTAGCGGCCACTTCCCTGGTGTGCAGTGGTGATACCTGCATGTCATTAACAGAAAATTGTACATATTGTATTGTATGTAAAAACCCACATTTTTTCATATATTTGTCTGACGCCTTAAAGACGTGTGATAAAATGCATGCGAACCATGAAAAAAGGCACGATCCTTCTTTCATGAGAAATATATGTTATGTTTTCCAGATAGTAATTTATAACGTCCTGTGTGGGCCATCAGAATTCGCCAATTACAGTCTTTCTTTGCTGCCCATAAAGACCTTAATGTGGTCCCACAACAGCAATGCTTGTTCACACGTGAAGAGCTGTCAACACTGTAGTAATTTTCACTCCACTCTTAGGCCATGTCTTGGTTACTTGGCCTTGGCTTGAAATTGTGCAGTGGTTTTGGCTGCAAGCATGCCCCTTAGAATTGTGTTTACTTTAAGTCATATCCGAGTAATTTGGACACAGCTGTAAAGGCTAATTCGGTGACTAAAATTAGAAGCCATGACTGCAGCGGGGAACCATGATTGTTGGTTACATATGCCTCTTCCACAAATCGGGTATTACAACTTGCAAAAACACTCACCGAATATTCAAGAATATACATGTAGACATGAACATGTGGTGTCACTGACATAATAGCATTTTTATAGACAGTTTGGGTGACCATGGTAACACCATCACTGGTTACTTGCCGTCGCCCCCTCTAATGGCGGTAAGCATGGCGACAGCTTTTGTGCAAAACCACTGCTCCGTGACAGTCACTCCATACAAACTCCAACACAGTGCTTACTGCCATTCAGTGGGGTGTCTGAACAGTGAAAAACCAGTGGATTTGTGTGTACATGTTGTATATTAGAATATACAATGTACCTTCTCCAACCTTTATATACAAATTGCCATTACCTTGCCTGACTAACGTTTTTCTTTTTGTCTCCTTTGATTGTGTTTGTTTTACGTGGACAGAAAGATGGAATGTTCCCCAGCACTGTTCTTGTTATCAGTGCTTCTGTTTGTCTCGGGGGGTGTCCTGTGGTTGCTTGATAATGGCCTTTGCATGCACCTCAGGTACGTGAATCAAATTGAGCATGTACATACATTAGAACTCACTGATGTTTAAATGGAAAATTCAGCCTGAATTTGTGTTGAAAAAATAACTGTAGTTTTTCTCAGGGAATCTGTGCACTAAGCAGAAAGTTGCTTAAAAACCATGAGTCAGTGAGATATTTTGACAGTGCTTGTCCAAAATCAGCCCGGGCCCCCCTTGTTTCCGACTGACCTTGCTCTTTGAAATACTGAACTTGCTCAATTGGCATTGCAACTGTGACCAAGTTTGATTCAGTGACTGCCAATTGTAAGATGAGTTTTGCCAGGTACCCAGGATAAATTTATGCACAGTTTACTGGGCAAAATTGAACTTTTGGTTGACAAACGGGCACTGTTCAGACTTAACTCATGAATCAAATGCAGTCAAACTTCCCTGTCGGAATTTGGCTTTAAAACACATTTTATACTCGGCCGATCTTTCCCAAGAGAGGGATTTCACATTAGCGCCGTCTGCGCATATCTGCATCGAAACCGAGGCTCTCTGTGTTGAACTTCCTCGCGTGCGCCCGCTGAGTCCACACAGTACATGGAGTATCGGGTTCGTAAGTGTGATGCCACTTCAGTTTAAACCACGCCCACTGCATAAGAGACACGACCATCGCACATGCGTTAGTTCGCGGTGAATTGCCGTTATTTTTCCTTTTGATTTTACGTGTCAAGTCATCCTGAAAGACTCTTCCACCAAAATTCTCAGCCTGAAAAGTCTGAATTTAACATACCTTTATGTATTTTGTGTCTTGACTCCTTACTTTCAATCGTCTGATCGTATTAAGAATTGAAGCTGACACATACAGCCTCGTTTTCAAACGTGGAAGTGTGCAGATCGACACTAAAAGCGTCGTATTGGGATCCCTCTAGTGTATCTCTGTGGATTGCAGTTCCCAGAAGTTGGATTTGCCACTCAGCGCTTGAGTAATTAAAGACAGAAATATCTGATCCATGCCCATCCATGGTTGGCATTTGTGGATTGCATTTTAACAAAGACAAGATGTATGTTTGCACGCGGAAACATGTTGTTTGTACTGACTCTTCCTTGGTGAATGTATACACATAGAGACTTGGTAGCAAACTCAATTAAATGCCGTTAGTGTAGTGGGACTGTGCTTTTACAGTTGGTGTGTAATTGATGGCTCTTCATGAACCAATTTCAGTATTTACATTTTATCAGAAGAGGATTTCAAGAACGTGCAATATGCAACCATGTGAGTGTGGTATATACCACTTTACAGTCATGATCTGTGTTCCGGTGTTGTAGTCAAGACCATCACAAGATCAGACACAAGATTAGTCACAAGACCAGTCACAAGTGACAGGATGAACATGCAGTGACAAAGGAATGTTTTTCCGCTATTCATCTGAAGATAGCTTGCGACTTGAATTCAGACTGGAGGTCGTGATTGTGTTGATCTTATGATGGTCTTGTACGATCACATGATGACCTTAAGAGGTCTGAACTACAACACATTGCTGTGTTTGGATCGATCTATGGAGAGTATATCGGTGCTTTTATCCTTTTTTATCTTTCCTGTCCCTGACAGGCATGCTCGTTCATTGGTTCCCACCCCGCTGGATGTTGGGTTACAACTCCATGCCTGGTGGCATGTCCTTGCCGGGCTGGGTGCCCACTGCCAGTTCATGTTCAGGTGAACATTTTAGCAGAAAACTTACCGTAATTTTTGGAATATAAGCCGCGGCTTATATATTGATTCTCATGCTGAAAAATGTCTCTGCGGCTTATACGGCAAACTTTGAAGGATAAAATCAGTAACAAAAGCCGCGGCCTGACCACGCGTATACCACGTGCAAGTAGCACAGTCATGTTTTCATTGGTTGCCGTTTAAATCTGAACACTCCAACCATGGAGAATAAATAAAATTTGAGTTGTTTGGATTCTGAGTTATTGACGGTATTCCCAAGTCGTGGAGTCACAAAACATACATGAAATGTGTACGAAATCTACTGTGACCACATTTGTTGGTGATTATTTTCCCGTTTTAATTCATTCTCATGGTGTATTTTTTGCAGACAAATAATAATTTTTTCATTGTTGTAACATAAACATTTCTTTCTACCGTAAAATACAAATCACCCGCTTCAGTGGTGTACCTTTCTAGTCTGAGGCAGATCTTTCGTCTTTAAATCTGCATATTTGACTTGCGCAGCTGTGGATTCTCGCATGCACACCTGGTGAACAGCAAATATAGCAACTAACATGAGATAATGAATTTACCAGTGAGAGTTCAGCTCATAATGTGTATGAGGCATGGAAGTCATTCCAGTGCTAAATATTGAGAGTGTAACTTGATCATTTACATGTAATAGTATTATTTATACTCCTGCAGTTATCATTCACGTCTGCGTTACTTGAAACACCGTACTACTGAATGGGTAGGTGTTTGTTGCCATTGGCTATTGTTGTATTTTCAAATTCCATATTTTGTGTCTCAAAGTTTTTGAAAGGTAATGAGAATGCATGGTATCAGACTTCTGTAGTGAAACTAGGGCTGTTTAAACATGTACTCACTGTCTCTGTCTCAGGCTTCGTGTAGGAAATCAATCCCTGATTGCGGGCCTGAAGCATTTAACTGACTTAAATTGGAGTACAGCAATGTTTTGCTCTTTTGCATCTTATTTGATGTTTTGTGGCACTATGAGACTTTTGTGCTTAGAACCTCAAAGTCAGGAAGTGAAAAAAAAACAGTTTAAGCCTGTACAAGTACCTAGCTTCAAGCAAACTTGTATTCTCAATTCTGATTGGTCGATCCATGACGGAGCCCAAGTCGAGTATTGGGAAACAAGAAGATAGCCATGTTTCATTTGGAAATTTGGGAAAAGACAGTAAATTTATGTATTTCTCAGTAAAATGTTTGGATCTCTAAAATAAGTTTTGGAAATTGTGGTCTTTGAAAAAGGTAAAAATTTGACAGCCTTATCCTTCAGCTCATGGGAAACTACAAACTGATTTTTGCATTTTTCAGAATCTATACCTTTTGGACCAGATCTGTCTTACAGTTCCTCTGTATGTATACATGTGCTTGCAGGTCGGCTGGTTTCCGCTTGTCACCATCATTGGGAAGGAAAATGGACACATCAAATAAAAACCAGTGCTGACAGCATTCACCCCCACCATGAAAGTGGTCACAGTCCAGTGGAAATGAACAGCCAATGAAAGAGCTTTCTGTGGTATGATCTGCTGTCTGAGAGGGGTGAGCATTCGCTTGTATCTGGCATAATGACAATTAATATTTTGAATGCCATTATTTAAAAAGACTATTGTTTGCACAAGTGTTTCACTGTTGTATTTAATCCTGATGATTTCTCTGCACTTTAAGCGTCTTTCCCTCAAAGTGAAAAGTGTGTCTTTAATTAAAACAGTGTGGCAGAATTGATGTGCCACATGTAATTTCAAGTAAATATTGATACCTAAGACAGTTTAGCCATTCCTATCCACCTTGAGTTGAAGTGCACCCTCACCAGTGAAAGAAAGACTAGCTGATGAGAAGTTTTCCCACCGAGTTCCTGCATGCGTGGCGTTCGGCGCACACGCAAAGACTATACATTCCAGTATAAATTTGTTGTGCATATTCAGGCGTGCCCCGCACCAAACGCGCGTAAACTTGCATGCCTCCGCGATGACTTCGTACAGAGGACAGTCATTTTCATTTAAAAGTGCATCGTCTTTTGTTACCGCTTGGAGCAGTTTGGTCCAGAGCCCATCACTTGACTGGTCTCAAACAGTTTATAAAGCACTGGCTGGGTGTTTCACTGTGCACCATATGTGCGTACCCATCTCCATACAAGGAGATTATTTACGACTGCTCACGAGAGGAACATACTATAACATGGATAGGGTGGTGATCAAAAAAGAAGGAGTAAAATTGTCAAACAAACTTATTGCAAAATCAGTCATTAGTCACATCACATTTATTTCATTAGTATTAGTTGTGATCATGCTGATTTGTGTGACAACTATTCAATTTTTTCATTTTAAACAGATCTTGCAGAATGTTAATCAATAAGGGTAGTCAGCATTTTCCCAAAGTTTGGATTTGTTAAGAAACTAAAGCTAAATAGTATTAACAGATGAGCTGTTCCATCTTTATAGAAAAAGTACTCACTTTTCCAGGTTCATTCATGCATTATGTTGTCAGAATGAGGATGAGATTGCTTGGAACCTGAGGAAGAAATTTTGGCAAATTTGGATTCAGTCGTGTGCCATTGCAAAGTGACATACGGTATTCTTTAATAAATGTGCAAGAACCCAGTAGGATATGACAAAGTTTGTTCCTGAGCAGGGTACTTTCCAGCAATCAGTTTCTTTCCCCCCAAAAGGGGGCAAAGCTTTGCTGTAGGGCGCCAAAGTTTACGGCAATTTTATACTTATGGGGACTCAGTCTTACTCTACCAGTACTACCATGTTCCCAGTACATGTGCATGCATAAATAGGGCACGCGAAATCCAGATACAAAAATTTCAAAGTAATGGTGATGGAACCAGGCCTGGAAAGTTGTGATTATTTTTAGAACCCAATATTCGTTCCATTTCATTTATTGTTTTAATGAATCAGATGGCTGGCCCATCTTTATCTAAGTTTTATTTGTCTCACATTTTTCTTAAAGGTTTTGTGTGGAATGTTTGATACACGTTTTTATGTTAAAGAAACGTTTGACCTTTTTTCCTGCTTAAAGAAGGCTCTTATTTTCACTGAGTATATATATCCAGGTATTACTTTAGTATCATTATTCAGTATTATTCAGCATTACTGACGCCATATTTTTACACTGTCACATCAGTAGGTAAGTCAAGTGGAATGTTTAATACATGTACACGTTTTTGTGTACAACGTTTGACCTTTTTACCTGCTTAAAAAGGTTAGTTTTTCACTGAGTATGTATATCCAGGTATTACTTTAAATTATTCAGCATTATTGACACCATATTTTTACTCTGTCACATCAGTGGGTAATTATTCAAGTAACTGAATAATATAAAAAGACAGAAATCCTTAAAACCATGAAAATCAGCTGTCGGATTGGACCACATTTGGGTTTGTTTGGGCTGATGATGCCACAGCTTCTGGGATACTTGGCATGCTTGGCTGAAGAGGCCCCATCCCCTCCCCGGAAGTGGAAACCTTCGCCAAACATTCTTATCTTGAAACCTTATAAGCTACCCGTTTTGTTATAATTTTAAATTTTAGATTAAGCAAGGTCATGACTTAATTTGCAGGCAAACACATTCCGATCAATGCAATGAACTTGTTCAACCCACCCTTGAAATTTTTGTCAGTTCATCAATGCAGAATTCGCATGCACATTCAATGCAAATACATGTGTACATTATGTATATATTGTGATGCCAAAAGGCAGATGTCTAAATTCAATGTTTATGTTTACTTTCCTGTGTAACAGATGCTTTCAATATGTTCAAGGTACTGTAGTTTGTACATAAATGTATTCTTTAGGCTGGATGCAATAAGGGTAAATGTGTGTATCTTTATCTAAAATTGTGATTGAAGAAATTTTTCACCTTTTTTCTCACTGGAATGAGAATTCATCATCTCTCAGGGGTTCATGAAATGAATTTTGCTGTAATTTGTTTTTTTACGTGTTCTCCTTCCTGAACTTGTTAAAGCAAGGAAACACTCTTTCTCGGCGTAGATTTGAAGTACGCCTTTTTCACTGCTTGCAGTACCCTAGCCATTTTTGCTGACAACTGAGGGCATGGTTGTGGTGATGCCATCATATAGGCACACATTGGAGCCACAGCGACAGTCACACACATGACGCATGCTGTACGTATTTTTGAATTGAAACATGCATGCGTTTTAGGAACATTTCCCACTTGAATACAGCCTGTGTGTGAATGTGTTAATGTTTAGCCTTAACTATGGCAACGGTCATAATTGTATGCGGGCATGTTCTATCTAGTGCCAACATGAGTGCATGTCTTCACATTGCAATGATGATGGTCCTTGGAGGGGAACTCAGAGCTTGCATGCATGTTTGTGCTTAGTTTTTGCACTGAGTGCATGCAACTACCGGAAAGTTCTGTTCAAATGTATCGTCTTTGAGTGTGTGCTGCAACCTTGTCTCTAGCAGTCACTTTATCCAGCTTTGCTTCCAGTAGTAACCCCTGGAAAGCAAAACTCTCTTCCTGTATTCTGATCCGATGCATCAACAGCGAGGAAAGGCTTTATCTCATGTATTTGGTGTTTATAATTTCACTGTGTTATGTGTTTCACATTTGTTGTGACTTACTATATCCACTTTCACTGGTAAACATTCCGCTCTCTCCATTTTGATCATAATTATGAAAAACTGTGATGCTGCATATTGCTTGAATGGGAATTTAACTTTTTATCTTTGAAAAAGGCCACAAAGAATTGACTCTTTTGAATACCAGACACAAATGATGATTGAAAGCATGGTCAAGCACCAGACTATTAATTATTAATACATGCATCCAAAATTTGTTTATATATGCAAATGATCCAGTGCAATGGTGAGAGCAGGACTGGTAGCCACCGAGTGCACTGCTCAACTTCTTGTATCACATGTAGTCTACTTTTAATAGAACATATGAACCCAAACTGCATGCTGCATCTGAAAGTATATTCTGGCTTTTATGTAGAGAAGCCATGAAGACAACGGAACAGACAACTGGGAAAAAACCAAAAAAACAAAATAAATGAAAAGATTCCCTCAGTATTTGATGTTGAAGTTTTCAATGCGCCGAATTGAAGGTTCTCTCCTGCATGACTGTTTTTTCAAGACTGTTGGAAACCAAATTAATGGTATATAGGACTGATGTACATGCATTTCTACAATTCTAGTAAATTTCTTTTAAAAGGATTTTTTTTCTATTTGGCTAATACGAAGTTTTGTGTAAATTTGCATATTTTGTATAATTATGTAATATGCCTTTGTAGGGAGTCAGGTTGGCATAGCTTTCTATCCTTGCTTTTCACCTTTGCAATCCACTGTTTGAATCCCACCAGAATTTTAGACACAGTATTCATAAAATAATAATGAAATGGTACAGTGAACAAAGATATCTTTTTTTCCCTGAAATTATAGAAAAAGCCCAAGGCAATTTATTTATGGGCTATTTTATATTTCAATGTGTCAGTTGACTGTTATTCATAACAAGTAGAAGACTTCCAACGGAAATAAGTACAGCTCGACAAATGTCAGTTTTGCAATGTATTGGGAGTAGAGATATCCTTTTCTGAGTTATATATGTTTCTGAGTTATATATGTTTATTTGATGTGATACCATATCTACCGCATATAGAATTGATATACTACACGTATGTTCAAGATACTTCGTGTTGGTGAATGCACACTGATGCCCTAACCGGTGAATGAAATTATGCATTTGCCTCCAGCAGTAATTGTACTTTTTTAATGAATTTTTATAAGGCAGCTGTGTTGTATTTGTGGCAGTTTCATGTCTTGCAATAAACTGGATTAATGATGTTAAATTAACATGACTGTCTTGTCCTGGTGTTTCATTACAAGCTTAGAGCGAAGTTGTGTTATTTTTCTAGCGGAGAAAATCCGGGAAAGCAAATTATGGGCAGCCTCTTCTATGATTCCAGCTGTGCTGTGAATTTATTTCATTACGCTTGCTAGATTAGCCACGCCCCTTTCCTGCTTTAGCGTATACTTGCATCATATATATAGTCACCACGCTAGGTTGATTATAGTGTGCGTCAACTTAAGTTTCTCATTCAAACTAATAGCTACAACGTTCAGTTTTACACGATAAGTGAACACTACTACCCTCTTAAAAATTACAATCAATGAAAAATGTACAGGCCTAGCTGCGTTAAAAATAATTCCCGGTTGACTCGGTAAGTCCAAGTCCAAATATATGCTGGCTCCTGCAGTCAATTGTTTACACAGTACGTTTTACACGTTCGTGTATTTGCAGCGCGCTAAATTTTGATCAAATGCGCTCCGCATCCAAAATGGCACCGTCGGCGGCAGAGTTCGCCAGTGCGTGGGGGCAGCCAACTTCTACACTGGATTGGTGCGAAGAAAACTACTTGGCGAGTCCTTATATTGCAGAACTGTGTAAGTTTACATTGATTTTGAATACTTTCTGTCTTTTATCTTGACTTCTTGGTGATACCCGTATTTGCGCGATTCTTCATGAACAACAGAAATCATCAATGTTGCTTATTTATATCCTAGAGTTCGCTGTCCGACTCAGTGCATTTGGTGTACAGAGCTGAGCATCATGATGAAATGATCACTAAATTTGGACTTTTTGTTTGTGACTGAAGTGTTCAGTGTTACTGAAATACAAAAAAATGCATGAATGATGCTTAAATGTGCTAGAGCTAAAGAAAAAGCCAGTCTTACTGATATACACAAAAAAAAGGAATGATGCTTAAATGGGTTTTTGCATGCCTGGTGATTTACAGGCAGATATCCCACTTTTTAAAAATTTCCTGTGTAGTAAATTTCCACAATTACTTTCCTTCAGTAACACCCGTCTAGTTTTTGTTCTCTCAACTTTGCCAGTGTTTCTTCTGATGAATTTTTTTGTTGGGGGGGGGGGAATTAGCTCTTTTATCTTGGTGCACGTCACTCTACCTATAACCCCTAATAAAGTTAGGTGGCAGTGTCATTTTTGTATCCCACAGGGAACTCCTTGAGTAGTGTGGTTATCATTGGGATTCCCATCATTTCCCTACTGTCCTTTTCACTCTGGAATGTGGAAAAGAGATTCTTTGTGGCATGCTGGTGCTTCCTAGGTATGTTGAAGGTTTGTTTGTTGAAATGAGAAAGGATGGTAACTCAAATTGATGAGGTAAAAAAAAAAACATTCATAATTGTGGAAAACAAAAGGTCATTTTAATAGCCAATCAAATAGGTTTGAAGATTTGTCGTCAAAATACAATGTTATTTTTTCTGTTAAAATGGCCCCTATGTAGCTTTCTCCAAGGCGATAGAATTCTACAGTATAGGGTTTTTTTTCTCTGACATCCACTCAGTGGAGGCAACTTGCCTTGTATTGTTGGCTGGGTTCATTTTCCTATCCAAGACACAGGCTCCATAGCAAGTCCTACTCTGTGAAAAGCACCTTGGCTACTGCCAGTTTACAAGCAATCATACAAAGAAGTTGGGTAAATTCTCAAACACATTTGCCTGTAACCACCTCAGATGGGGAAGACTAACAATCTACTGAGAACTAGACTAACAATGGAAAGGTTGCTGTAGGCATCTCTGCATCTTATTATCATGGTAACAAAACAACAAACATGCAATCATGTTTGCCTGTTCTAGAAAGAACAAATTTGGGCACTGGATTATACATGTACCTGTAAAAGCACACCTAATCAGTCTTAAGCTTGTACATAGGAGCCCCTGCTTCCCTGGGATTTTTACACTGAGTGTAACTCTAGTTTCCATTATACATTTAGTTGAGCACTCAACCAATGTGAGCCTAGCCAAATTTATTGTCAAGCAGTAGGCCTGTATGTGTTTTGCAAATGTGCAATTCACCAAGTATGAATAAAAGCCCTGTATCATTCACATTTATAAATGGTCCATGTCCAAAGGTTTTTTTCCAAGTTTCAGTTTTCTAAGAGTCATGTATATCCCAATAAAAAAAAGTGTGTTGACCTAGCATCAAAGGCAAAGTTCATTGCCATCTGTGAGGTGTAACCTTGACAACTAGAATGAAATTGTCCCAATTAAAAAGTGCAGTAACCTGCATTGCTATCAGTGAGGCGTTTGTTACTGGAAACAGCTCAAAACTCCTGTGGTTTGCTGTAAAGGAAGGTGTACTGAACTTGGGCAAGCATCTTTTATAACGTGGTGCTCGGATGTTTTAAGACAAAGTTTAGAGGGGGATGGAATCAATAAATTGTTGGTTGGCGGATCCAAGCCTTCTCAAAATAAACATTTTCATTTTTTTCCAGTTCTGAATCTGGAAGGTTGACAGATCGGAGCACCAACTTAAAGTCTTGCCTTATTTGGGAGAAAATTTTGATCACATGGGAAGGGGCTGATTTATGTTCCCAATATGCATTTTTTTTGGGGGGGGAGGATGGGCCTTGGGATCATTTATCCATTTCCGTACTGATCGATGAAAAATAGAGAAAAGTCATGTCTAGTGCTTTAAAGACAGACATTTTCAAGCAGTTTAGTTAGTAATTGTCAGACTTGGATGTTTGGGTGATGATGTGATCAATGGATCAGGCAAGGACGGAGGGGGAAGGCTTACATGTGTAACTGAAAGTGAAAATTAGACATCAGAGCCGGGCAAACACTTCCTTGTTTGACATTATGACATCTGTATTATGTATGTGTACATTGAGTTTCTGTTTTCTGCAGTCGACCAATTAAACAGTAATAAATGACCTAGTTCCGTAAAGATCAAATCCCAAAATGTTTCCCATCACAAAAATTCCTTGAAGTGTCTTTGTTTCATTTTCTCTATGTATAGCCGTAGGCATAAGCTCCTTGGCCTTCCATATGACTCTGCTGTATGAAACACAGGTAAGAAAATGCATGGTGGATGGGAAACAATCCAAAGCGAGCAACTCTAACCATAGAAAAATTGTTGAGATTGTTCATATTTAGGATAAATGTGCTTAATTCTTGTGAGACAGTAGAAATTGGCAGGTGCTGTCATTTCCCTTCCAGTTGATGATGACCACCAATTTTTATTTTTCACTCTTTGACTATACTACTGGCCAGTGGCATAGGGCGGAAGGGTTGCATGCCTCCCACAAATTCCCAGTGCCCCCCCTTAAGGTGCCCCCTCACAAAATAAAATGGATGAATGGATAGTGAACAAGGCTAACAAAATTAAACAAGGCTAACAACATTTTGCCCCCCCCAGATAAGATGCGAGCCGGTGCCCCCTTTGTGCCCCTCCCACTAGTAAAATCCTAGCAACATCAGTGCCACCAGCAGCAATGCCAGTTTTCAGGTTTAAAAGCCCATTTCAAGCTTCTTGAAGTAGCAAGTAAAATTTGCATAAATTTTAAACACAGCTTATCACAACAGCATCCATGTAGCAAATAACTATAAATGTAAATATTTTCAGTCATACCAATTTACGAAGGACAAAAGTGGCTGCTGAATCAAACAGGTGGATTTGAAGAAAAAGTAGCCTATTTTGGTTACAGTCAAACCTCATTAATATATTAACGAGGTTTCACTGTAACCACAATATAAGGCCACTGTTAATACAGCCTTCTGCTTATAACAAGGAAATGTTTAGGTCCCAATCCTTTTTTCATTATTGTTTTCATTTTAAGGACCTCTTACCGATGAGGTTCAAGTGTACGGTACATGAATGTTTAATAGCCCATATTTTTACTTTTATTTTGCAGCTGATGGACGAGTTGTCTATGATCTGGGGAGGGTGTGTGTTGGTGTATTTATTGTGAGTTAATTCATCAATAGTTTAAATTTCTGTTGATAAAAACCAAAGACAGCACTTTTAGAATAACAAATTGAAAGTACTACTGGTCTGTTTCTTGGGCCAGCACAGCTGTATACATCTTCCTTCTCAGCAAGCGGACTTGGTGTTCTGCATTGTATCCACAAATTGAATTAGTGCATTGTACAGGTCATTTGGGATAATAAGATTGCATGCAGGATTATAGCCCTTTCGTGCAAACTCACACAAAGTGTTTGAGCTGCATGGCCTGACATCAGGTGTTTTATCCTGACTGACCTCGCTGTACCAAACTGGCTGACTGGTAACTGCATGTGTTTGGATGAATATATATGTTGGTTAGAAATTGTACCTACTGTTTGTACACCATATCACTTTGAGCAAAAAACCTTAGAAAGTTAATGTATTTTTACATTTTGATAAATTGTGGAGCATGCACGAATCATACCTGCAACTAACGAAAGGCATGGATATTGTAGCGCCGGTGGGTCCGGCCGGTGGGGGTGCCAGCTCGGACCCGCATGGAGTTGGCTGGCTGCCCCCGCTGGTATGCGAACGGCCCGGGGTTTTCCCGCCTCGCGCCTGTGCAGTCCCTGCCGACGGGCGCCATGTTTAGAGCTTGTCTGAAGAACACATTGTTGTGGACGCTACAGCAATAAAACAGAGATTTCGTGACCAGAACAGCGAGTTGCGGCTGTGTGTGAATCTATACTAGCGTCGAACGCTGATCCGTAGGACAGGCTACAATATATTGCTAATTTTGAGCAGAATGTGCACAAATCTCTTACATGTACACGTTGCACTTTCACTCCAGAGGAACACAAAATCTGTGTGGATTTAATGATCAGAAAGTGCCGAATACATGCATACTTACAAATTTTCTGTTTTTCAAATCATTGCCACAGTTTCAGCCATGACTCAAAGCCCAACAGCAACAGTCTTCCACTGGTGGCATTTCTGCTGCTTTATGCCCTGTGTGTCACACTTATTTATCTTCTAACAAAAGAGCCTGTTTTCCATCAGGTATGTTGAAATTATTTGAAAACTGTGTAGTGTGACAGCCAGGATCATCCGACCAAAGTCTCATGATCTCTAACCCATCCACCTATCTTTTGGACTGGCTATAATAAGTGTGATTTTGATGTAGGCACTGTGCCAAACTACTTTAAAAATTGTCGGCCTTAGAGGCCTGTTGAATACAAATTTGGACTCCACTGTTTTCACGTTGGCATTATGTATTAATCAATATATGATTGTAACTGTGCACATTTATTTTGGAACAGGTCAAATCGTAATTCATACCTTCCTGGTATCTTGATCTATTTTCAGGTTGCCTTTAGTCTACAAGTCATTACTGTAATGCTTAGAGGCATCCAAAGGTATAGAATCAAGTATGTTCAAGTATGTTACACACGTGCTCATCTACTTGCAAGGTGATAAATTTTCAAAGGGTAAAAAGGGGCTTTTCTTGGTGGAAATTGTGTGCATGTTTTATGGCTCATGCCTTTTCACCTGACTCCTAGCTTGTGCTGGGAAAACTCAACCCTCCAAAGAAATTCTAGAATTCAAGTGTAATACAAAATCCTTCAGAGCAACTGATCAGATTTCAAATTAGCTGAGGCATATGATGTGTATCTTGTTTGTCACCAAATATTTAGCTGCTAGTATTTATTTTGAGGACACATAGTGACAGAAAAATTAAAAGACTGATGATGTTAGTTTGTACAAGTGTTTCTCAAGATGTGTGACAAAAGCACAAATTTGCACTTGAAAATTTTCAACAAGTAGAGTATTTAAACTTCCTGTAAATTAAAATATGGGACTCGCTGGCTCTCTTTTTTCGGACACCGGTACCATACAAGAAATATTTTGGCTACACGTAGGTCTGGTTGTGTTGGCTAATTCTAAAACAAGACTCAACTTTGCATTGAGTACCCTTTTACAAAGTAATCATCCATCATCATTTTTTTATCCCCAGGAAATATTCCTATTCAGGGTCACTCAGGCTGCTGTTTTTTTCATTGGTGCTATATTCCGTTGGATTTGTGTTGTGGCTCACTGACACTGCATTCTGCTTACACTTGAGGTAATGTACATTAATAGAGTGTAAACATTTTCAAAATGTATAGCCATTTAAGAAGAATTGAAGCAAAGTATTCTTCAATCACTGGGATTTTTAAAAAGAAAACTCCTTGTTCTTTATTTTCAGAGACTTTACAGTAGACCCACAGCAAGTTCTTTAATTTTGTATGTAAATTGAAATTATTTCTTATTTTGTTCAGTAATACGAGGCTGCCCTGCAGTCATGAGTACAATAGTTCAGATAGGTTCAAGTAATATATGCATAGTTAACAATTTTTCCACGAAAGATACTTGTCAAATGTCCAAAGATACTATTAGTGCCACATGTACTAATAGATGCATGTATGAAATTCTATTGCAATGCCGAAGGATCCATTCACTCTCCAGAAGAAGAAAAAAAAATTGGTACGTCAGTCAGGGCCAGATTAACCTCAGGCCCTAAACATTAGTGTTCTGAAACCCTACTTCACCCATGAATGTCATCACTGAGGTAGTGAAGTGCTGATGCAAATACAGTTCAAAGAGAAAAGTTATTTAGCTTGAAAAACAATAACTATGTGCATTTTAAGATGCACAGTGGTATTTTTCTTAGACTTTCAAAAACTTTTTGTGTAACCTAGCTAGGATGCTACAGCTGTCTGCAGTACCTAGTGGATAATCTGGCCCTGATGACTAACATTTTCTTATATCCATCCTGTCCAAAACTGATACTTGTTAATATCACCCCTCCAACTTCATATTCAGGTCGATCAGGGCTTTTCTACCCACCCCAGTCGGTGTGGTCCTACAGTTCCATGCTTGGTGGCACACCCTATCGTCCCTTGGGACCCACTGTCTGTTTGTTGCGTGGTAAGTGCCAAAGTGTACCACAGACCACACCAAGCATTTCTTCACTGTATTTGTGTGTTGGCATCGTGAGCCCATTTTTGACCTGTCCTCACAAAGCCAGACAATTAAAATAACTAAAAGTCCAATTGAAACTTTTGAATTTAGAGTTCTCCAATTAATTCAAAGACATTAAATTGATTCTTTTCATTTGCCCCCCATAATCTCAGGGGAAGGGTTAGACCTTATCATCCTTGAATGTATTTAACTTTAATTTGTAAACATTTTTGTGCTATGTGTTGTCCGGGTGCTGCAAGAACAGGTCGCATTAACAGGTTTAATGTTTCACTACTAGTGGCTGGAAAACAGTGTGATAGAATAATAACTCTATCATTAAAAGACTAATAGCAAACTCTGCTTCCAAACAAAATCCCTGTTTCCGCTTGATTGGGACAAAAGTGCAAAACTGCCAGCCACAGATGATCTTTCTGCAAACATTGGCAGCCATTTCAAAATGTTAGACAATGTTTGTCCTTATTCTGTTCCAACCCAAGCTATGGGTCCATAAAATTGAAGAGCTTCCATTTTCTGTGTACAGCCTGCATTGTTGGGCCCGGTTAATCGCTGCTATGAAAGAACGGCAGAACTTTAAGAAAATTGTCAGTTGGCCTTCATGCAATGCATTGACAGTCTACAAAATCAGAGATAACCTTTAAGCATTTCCCTTATTAGAGCAGTGGGTGAAATGAATGTATTATGAAGATTCAGTCTGCACTAGGAGGCATAAGTAATATCAGTCAGCTGTCATGTCACAAGTCCAGCCATGTTTCTGGAATGAAATTTTAATTCCATTGCCAACATTTGTCGTGCAGCCCTAGCAGTGCATGGTCTCTTCATTTATGGAGCAAGTTCCTCCCACACAATGTTTCTCAGTGACTCTGCGCTTACCAGTATTGGCCACAATATTGTGTGGGTTTTGTGCCTGCTGTTTGCCATGACAGGTAAAATCGTATTGGCAGTACGGCCTGCTACTGCATGTCTTGTTAATTTTCATTTGCTGCATGTTCTTTTTTTTTTTCTTTTATTGTCCATAGCTGCCACTCTCGTTACATGTTCCTGAAACGAAACCCCAGAATCTGGGTAAGAGTGTTTTTCTTGGTGCTTTCCAAAAAAACTAAGATCATGCATGCACTGTTTGTAAAACTGTATACAGATTTGAAGAGTTGAAGGAAGCAATGGCACACAGTGATCACAACTAATGCGTCACATTGCATAGGACACTGCAGTGCATACAGTACATTGTATACATAGCATGTGCATGCATATTCAATCCTTCTTTGTATCTTTGGCACACAGACAAAATTGCTTGTCAAGCTGCAACAATGCATGTTGTCTGCTCATTAGTTTTGAGTCGACTTTGCTTAGAAGGGTTAATTTAAATACTTTATTGCATGTACTACATCCAAACAAAATGACTATAAAGGCTCTTCTTGATGAAATACTACAGTGGCTGTATATGTCTTTGTGTAGAGATTTCTTATTGAGTCTTGGAGGAGACCTGGAGTCAGACCCAAATAATGCCGGCAATACTAGTGAAAGTTTCCACTTATTGCAGCTAGTCACGCATTATTATGGATTCTTGCACTGCTCATTGAGCAGTAGTGCAATGAATAAGTGTGTGCTTTAATTAGCTTTTGTAGAGATAGTCAAGTCTATAGGGCAAATGTGAGATTTGCCCCAGTGACAATGCACAGGTAGTTATATGTAATGGACTTAGTGATAGTGATGGGGCTATCTTGATTTTAATTACTGAACAAGAAAAACCGTTTTTATAGCCCTGCTGCCAGCATGGGGGGAGGGCAGTACCATGGGGGTGGGGGGTGGGAAGGGTTACTTTGTAAGAACTACAGATAATTTTGGTGTGCCTGCCGGTTTTTGGCCGAGTGGGGGAGGGGGGAGCTTAAGGGCCAGGCCCGTAAAGATGGGCCTGAATGAAAGCACAGGCAGAAATAAATTACCCTCCCCCCCCAAAAAAAAACGTACAGAAAGCATTATGTTCTCCTTCTCATTTCAATTTTTTGCCAATTTCTTTTTACAGATGGTGGGATGTCTTCCTCTCGTTGCACTGGATGCAACAGAAAATGGCCGCATCCACTAAACCAAGTTGTCCATGTACTCTCGAAATCCAATGGATTTCCACTGCTGGCATTTTCAACTTACCGGGTATACCAGAAGGCCGTGGGTTAATTCCCCCCTCCACCAAACTGGAGATGGCAAATGTGTATAGCTTGTCCAAAGTACTTTTTACAGGCCTGGTTTTGTGTGTTGTTTGCCATGTGGTAAATGTGTGTGCCCTGAAAATGGCCCAAGGTATTTAAAGTTGGTACTTATTATGGGTAGATAGATATGAGAGGGTAAGGCCATGACTGAAATGGGCTTCCCAAAGCTACGACCAGGTCTTTCGTCTGCACATCTCCAATGGGAGTGGAGACCTAGACTTAGCCCCTAGACAACAGCTTCGGATGCAAGGTTGTATGATAGTGTATAAATCAGCAACTTGTTACAAAGACGATGGTGTGTTCTCATCAGATGTTCAAGTAGTGTATACATTACAGATTGGCACAAAGTAATGCATGTGATTTCAGTGTTATAATGGTATGCACTGTTTTGTTAGATGGTTTACATGTTTTTATTCAGGTCTCATTTTTGAGCAAGTCTTTATCTTAAATAATTTTGCCTTTGGAAATAGGTTACAAGTGAGGGTTGCTTTTGGCAGAGTTTGAGGCAGTTGTCACTGTTACCAGTTTTCTTCAGCAGTTTTAACAGACCATTGAGAAGTGTATTTTAACTCTATTAATATATTTGAAATGTATGCATGTTGAATGAAATTATTTCCCTTGAAATTAATTCATGGGTGCAGTTGGTTTCATTTTCCGTGCTTTGTTTTGGATTAAACACAACCCCCTAGTTTTCAGCATCATGGTAAAACCTTTAAAATTCCTCTCTGAGATTTGAATCTCGTACCTTAAAATTAACTGAAGCCCCAAAATTTTAAGCTTTTTGTTTTCCTACCAACTATATTTTCATGGCAGAACCCTTAAACTCTTTTTGGGAAAGAAGTTTGTAAGAAAATGTAAAGTTAGAAATAAAAATAGGGGAAAATATGTCTATTTTAGCTTGAATGCTGTATTCCGTTCAGAAAAGTGAATATGAACGCAGTGGTATCATTTTGTGCACAAAATTGCATTTTAATTTGTACTACTAAATTGTTTTGTGGTCCTCCTAAGACAGAATTTGCACATATGTAGTCTTTAGTATGTGCATCCGAGCATTTCGTGCCAAGCAATCTCGGCGCTGATGTCTCGTAGGATATATAAAAGTAGACCCACATTTATATGTGGGGCTAAGATAAACAATTTTATTAAGACATACTTTTTGTGAGAAAGAGGTGCCAAAAAAGGAGTTGATGGTTTTTAATGGAATTATTTAAAAGGGAGGAAAAAGTCTTTCACTGAAATTCAACATTATGATAAGCACATCAGTAGGCTATAGCAGCATTCTTTTGTGATGTTTCTAACTGTATTTTGACAAGTTGTGTGCCTTGGAAAGTACTTTTTTCTTTTCCGGGTATTCACAACTGTTCTTGCGAAATACCAATGCAAACATACTCAGGTCTACAATGATTTGTATTCTAAATTTTTACTTCGTATTTTAATAGTGGTTTGAAGGGGAACAGAATCTATTTATCTACTTTTTTATCAAATGTGCCTTGCTTTGCTGTGAAGCATAGGAAAGAGTTCTTTAAATTATAAATTCCTGTACTTACAATATGGTGGGTGATGGATAAATTTCTCATTATTAAATCATGCACATTGAATAATAAAATAACACAGTTTATGATGTCTCTGACCAGAGATGAAATTTTGTATGTATACAGGGTAAGTGTGAATTGATTTTTAGTGTTTAGTATCAGACTTCTCTTAGAATTAAGGAGATTGCTGTGTAAATGTTTGTGGTTGTAAAAATACTGTGTTCAGGTATACTTTAAACACACTTCACAAATCATGTTTGAACTTTATGGAATTGAAAAAGGGTGCAACTTTTTATAGAACTATGCATAAGACGGAAAGTGCGTTTGCATATGCACATAGTTAACCGAAACATTTCTGTATTTTTATGAATTCTGTATTTGGATTATGGTGAACCCTTAGGGTCAGGGTAATTTGGGGGCATTTATTTATTCTTAGACAGATTGAATTGAATTTTGTTTGTCAATCATAACAAAACCTGTGAAACATTACGTAATCTGACTGTATCAAATGAGGCAACAGTTTCACATTTTAGTAAGGTTTAAATTCCTTGACGTTGCGTCCATTTTTTCTCTACAATAATCGAAATAGGAGCATATGAAATACATTGAGACATGAAAGCATGAAAGTGTCATGCGTATTTTTAAATTTTATGTTCTTAACTTGCAGCCTATCAGTTCCAGGTGTACTGAAAGTCATCACCATATTTCAACCAAATATGCCACCGAAATAGATTGACCATTGGACGAAAGTTCAGAGATAAACAATTTCTAATTATGAACTTAAAACTTCTTGTTTCACTTCATTACTTTGTGCAGGTTTTGTCATAGCCAGTTCATCAATTCACATGATCTTTGTGCATGCTTATGCTTATATGTGTTAACTTATTGACACAATATTGATTGCACAATAATCCTGGCCATCTTTAGTAGAATTTTTAAGTTTATCTTCCAATGCAAAAAAAGGGTTTTTTATACCTTGAACCTTTTTTAGTGTAAGTTTATGTTAGAAATAGACAAAAGATGTTCAAAGCAATTTTAAAAAGTTACCGGTAAAATATTGTATCTTAGCTGTGCTAAAAATTCATATAATTCAATGTAATCTGTGCTTGCTTTTGATTTGTCAGTCATGTAATGCTTGCCCCACAGGTGCGTGAGTAGTGTAACATGAATGGTTTGGTAAAGCGCACCATTACTATCAGCTTGTTTTAGAGATGAATGAGCATATGGCTTCATTCTTCGTAAATAACGGTTATTGGCAATAAATGGCATCATTTTACAAGTTTGTATTTTGTTTTGTACATGTTTGAAGAAGACACGGATTCATTTTTTTTTGTAAAATTACGAAAGCCCTGTTGTGCCATCAAATATACATTTTGCAAAAGGGAAGTATATTTTTTCAAAGTTCATTTTTTTCCTACAGAAATCCCTGTCAACGTTAACAGTTTAACTAGTTTAAATGACTTATCTAGTTTAAACCAGATGATGAGTCATTCAAACGAGATAATAAAACATTTAAAGAAGATAATAACTCGTTCAAGTGAGACATAGTAAGTCGTTCAAACGAGATCGTTGTTTCCGAATTATTTTTCTACGTTGGCAGCGAATCGGATACGTTTAATGCTTTTGTATAAAATTGCTCAGGCAGTTTGCCCATTCCAATTACTTTTGCCGGCTCTTTCTATTCGTGTTTTTTTTTCTTCAGGAAAAATAATCCACTGGGTTTTTTTAACGAGATCATAACTCGTTCAAGTGAGACAGTTAGTCGTCCAAAGTTTTTTGAAATTTTTGTTACAACGCATGCAGGAACATGAACCCTGAGGTTGACATCAGGTCCCACGTTGATTGCAAATGACAATGCTATTTCATCTGTCGTCAGACAGTCGAATTGTATTCTACGAAAAAGTATATTAGTTTTAAACGTTTGAATTTTTGCAACAAAGTGCAAAAATGAGTGACCAAAGACGAAATTAAACATTGGACATAGGTCACAAATTTTGGTGACGAATTTTCAGTTGAACGTTTATGAATTTGAACGGAAACATTGCGGGAAAGCCTCTGCATTATATTCTAAGTATTCCTCACTTCTTGTGTAGAAATGAAAGATTCCCAAGATATCATTTGCGGCCATCATAAAAAATAATTTACAAAATTGATCAATAAAATGCAAATTGTTTTGTATTCAATATCCATCGTTGAGAATAAACTCTCCACTCCTTTACTTCTCCTTTACTTCAATCGTACTTAATTAAGTCTAATTGCAGGCAGGATTGACGAATTTTCACCCTATAGTTCATCGCACACACGCTCTTAATTCCCTGAAAGAAGACTAATAAAATATTTTGAATAATGATAATTGTCATTATTATTTGAGTTGAAAGCAAATGAAGAAAATAGATTCACCAAGTGCACTTGTAACAGGCGAAACTAAGCTGGAGCCTGGGAATTACACAATCCACGTAGGCCTATGGCTGGCTCCCGTTGAAAAAAAGTCACGGAAGAAAGTTGTAGGCCTAGGTATACAAGCCCCCCCCTGAGAGTACGTAAGACCTTGCATTGTGTGTGAATCTAGAGACGACGCTTCTCCAGTCTTGTTCCATGGCACGAGGCGAACGTCCGTATCCTATACATAGGCCCCCTGTCGGATTAGGAGATGCAGCTTGCATCTCTAACGGCGTCAATGTTGGTATTTCTGATAGCATGTGAAATTGTCTTCTGCACTGGCGGATGGGGGGGGGGCGCACGCGATACACTAACTGCCACGCCTGTGGGAAAAGTTTTACTCCGATCCAGTGCAACCCGCTGAGTTCGCGTGTCCCCCTTCCGAAAATCCTGGAAATCCGCCCCTGTACTAACTATCCTATTTCTGCTCAGAACTGATTTACGACCAGTTTCTTTACAGACAACAGTACGTCAAGTTGCATCTCTTGGGTCTGGCCCAATCACATCTGGTCTCACCGCCATTGCTACAAGTTGTGCTAATGCACCTACCACCGCCTTGCATAAAGTGCAGTACAATTTTGACAAACCTGCAAAGGCAAGATCAGAAACAGGTGACCGAAACTGTCATTAATTTATGCAAACTGTCTGCGCCGAATCTTTGCCCCAACCGCACAAGGGTGCACCCTTGCAAGAAGGCCAAAATATGTCCGCCGAGCTCATGAATAAAAGTTATCATCACTCAAAATATTCTACATTAGAGAGTCCTGAGAGCCATGAAATCGAGGAATTGGAGAAATATGGCACTGAACCTCTGGCCCGGACTATGGGCTTCAAATTCTGAACAATTTGGATGCAGTCGGGTCCGAAAGTGGCACTATTTGGCCGTTTTGCGAAGGGATGGTTTTTCAAAACGGCTACTTTTCTGGGCAGGGACATTTCTTCATTTTAGGGGTGGTCTGCTTCTTGTGAAAATTTCTCAAAAATTCATTGTCAACCCCCCGAAAATTGAAAGGAAAATTAAAGGGGACATGTCAATCATCGTGTTTCTGTGCAGCCTGGACACCTGTGAGAGTTGTGAGTAGTTTTAAAATAATTGCGAAATGTGGGGATTTATTATTGCTGTCTATGTGAATTTATTTGTAGTGGTGCACCCACAAGCATGACCACGCCCCGATTTTTTTGCGCAACAGAGGTACCCTGTCCATCCAATGAATGTGGTGGCGGTATAATGCCAGCACATGCAAAGATGGCGCCGCTCTTGGATATGGATGGTGTCTGGGGAGAGCCGACTTCGACCCTGGATTGGTGCGAAGAAAACTACGTTGTGACACCATACATTGCTGAGTTTTGTAAATACAATCTGTTGCTTTCTGCATATATATTTATTTTAAAATTCTGAGGCGAATCCTTAGCGAAAATACAGCAGAAATAAGGGATTATTCGCCCCAGGCGTGGCCTGATGATGGCATGCCTGGCTAACTGGTCGGAGTGCGGCGGACGACAGCTACGTACATAAATCTGGGGGTAGACCCGTAAACAGGGCCCGACGAATACTCTTCCGTCGTATACTGGTACGACGGAGGAGTATTCGTTGGGCCCTGTTTTCGGGTCTATTTTGGGGGTATTGCTATGCCAGCCAGGTGAATTCCTCATTATACCCTGTCATACTCAAAAGTTCAAACAACTCCAACCTTTTGACTTCTGCTTACATTAGTTAGGCCCTAGCCTAGTCTGCTTTACAACTGTCCATCTATCCCACCTTGGTCATCAGTCATGCACATGTGTTCACCCAGTACTGCATGTACTGCCAGTGTATCAATCATTAGGCCTAATCAATTTAGCCTATTTACACAGGGAATTGCATGCTGTGGCACATGACGGGGGAGCCGTATTCCGGTCCCATCTCCTACGACTATGGTTTTAATTTTCATCAAATGGAGAAGAGCCGTAAATGGTGTTTGGTACTTGTGAATGCCATCATGGCCGTAGTCTCACATTGAGACGCTACACGGTGTGTTGCCAACATAGAGTTCAACATATTTCTTACAGCGGTTTTTCTGAAGATATGCCCCCATTTATATTTGCAAAAGGACGCTAGTAATGACATACATGATAAAGCCAAAAGTGCTAAATTTTTTTGAAAGTTTTATATGCAACATCATTATTTGATGTCCACAGACATGAGAGAAGCCAGTACTGATGCTTGATAATACTGATTTTTATCAACACCATTAAACCCTACTGAATTCTATGCTATTTGAATATCAACTGGACTTTTGGTTAGGCAATGACTTGCTGTGATGGAATAAAAATCACATAATAAACCAGATTTAAGTTCTTGAAAAGAGGCAGAGTGCGAAACGAATCCTATACTAGGGTGTGAGAATCAGATTTTTAGCTGATTTTAGCTTTTTTTGTTTAGATCTTGACCCAAAATTTCAGCTTTTTTGTACTCCTGGTCTGTACAAAATTGCAGGGACTTTTCACATTTCAGCTTTTTGCTAGCTGTTTTCAGCTTTAATTTTAAGTGACCACTCACACCCCTGCTAAAGTTCGAAGGGCGATTTTGGCAAGAATGTGGAAAATGTGAAGTTCTTACCAGCTTTGGTGGAGGACGACATACATGTAAATTTACCTTTGTTGTATGAGTAGCAGGGTTCTAAATGTAAGGAGTGCTGATACTGTTGACTTTTGTAGACTGATTATTTGACGAAAATTTTCAGCCCAGTTTCGTCTTCAAAATGTGCATGTATTATGGTAGAATGGAAAAGAAATAATAAATTGGAGGAATTTTTCTACCACTGCAGGGAATACAGTGAGCAATGTTGCCATGATCATCCCACCAATTATGTCCATGGTCTACTTGTCCTTCTGCAATGTGGAACAACGATTCTACTGGGCTTGCTTTGCTTTCCTCTGTGAGTGTTTGCCATCAAAGTACCACTTCTCAGTGGCTCACGTCATAGCACTTTCCCTGACAACCAATCACAGCTTATGTGAATTGCATACATATACATGTAGCATCTTATCCAGTGACATGCACTGACAGAACGAGTACAAAGATGATTTTACCGTTGGCTCTCTTCAGATAATGTGTGCAGCTGGTGTCACAGTTAAATATTCCAGTGAAGCTTCACTTGTTCTGTCCAGTCTCTATGTGTGATGTGTACAGGTTTCCATGGAAATAACCTGCTGGCTGTTCCTCCCAGGATCCTATTGATGCCAACATGAAACTGTGATGCTAAGGCAGTTAATGATATTTTGCTTAGTGTCAGGGAAACGTTAACGTTCTAAGGAGGTCTATACTTTTTACAACAATGTGTTCATTCACACCGTATGCTCAAGAGTGGTGCTTGAGTTGTGGAAACATTATTACAGGCTTGCCCAGGTGGGATTCGAATGTATCACTTACCGCTTACTAGTGCTGATGTCTTTAGACTCAATTGTCAAGTTTGCAGGGATTCAAACTAGCCACCCAAGCCCAGCTCGTGTAAAATGGGATCATGACATGTAGTGCTTTATCCATACCTCCATTGATCCTGCAAAATTGTCCACAATGTCACAACTTGACGGATTTGATGTCTTTATTTTTTAAGCCACAACGGACCTTAGAGGTAATGGTTTGCAACATTGTATTTTTAGTTACTGTCTTCATAGTTTATTCCAAGCTGAGGATAGAAAATCTTCCTATCCATTCACAGTTTTCTATTATTCTCTGCAGCTGTCGGTCTGGGTTCCTGGTGCTTCCACATGACCTTGCTATATGAAATGCAGGTAAGGGGACAAACCGGATGAGACAGACCACACATTGCACTTTGCTGACAGGCAGTGCCAGAGATAGAGGCCTACCTCTCAAGCCTGTGAATGCCTAGAACCCAGTGTCTGTTGTGCTACATGTATGGATATTTAAAACTCAACTCAATGGCGAAAAGCGAGTTGTTTAGACAAAATAAGTGGTCCTTTGGTACCAGACGGGGTATTGTAGATGACAGTGTGCAGGTACAACCATGTGGGATATACATGTATCTCTTCTTGGAAGAAGTGTGGTTCTGGAGAGACCCGGCCGTGAGAACTACGCCTCTTGCAAGAAGAGATACCCTGCAAGGTCATACCTGCAAACCGTCGCGTACCTCAGTATTACACTGTGCAAAGCTTTGAATTCTACTCATCAAACTGGGTTTGTGTCGCACTTTAAAGTTGCAATAAATCTGTAGAAGTGAGTTTCATCCCGTGGGTATACCTAATTTTGACTTGTGTTATTGCAGATATTGATTTACTCTCCTGCTGGGGCCAAATTTGCTGAAGCACAAAAACTATGCTTAAAAAGCAAATAGGTTAACAGGTCAAAATCTGTGGGATTGTTATGCTAACCAAAAGACAGGTGAATACGATTCCAAAACAATATACATCACATGAAGTTTTGGCTGGTAACCTGATTTGTCAAGCATGGTTTTTCACGCTTAAGCAAATTTTTGCCAGGAGGTGGCTATAGCCACAGTGAAAATTGAGATCCTCAGCCCGCTTTTCAACTATTATTCTCGGCCCACGCTCAAGCGAACACGGTGAAAGAAGGCAGACCCTGGCTCTTGTATATATGGTAATTGGTCTTTGTGCGTAGCCCAGAAATGAAAAGATTTTGCATCATAATCACCAGTTTCACAATAGTCCCCGCTTTGAAAAGAGGCAACGGGAATGTAGAAGGGTGAGTAGAGCCGCATGCCGCCGAACAATCAGCCTTTTCACTGTGTAATTCAAAGTGTGGAGAGTATGCAGGGCCAAAAATCAAGAATTTGCGGTGTGGCAGGTGGCCTTCGTGGCCAAGTGAGGCTGGAATTCTTGGAGTTGGCTTTTGGGAAGAATTTCCTGTCGTCAAGGAGTTAAGCAGCTGTTTGACATTGGCCCCTGGTGATATCTTCATTGTTTATTCATTTCGCAGCTCTTAGATGAACTACCAATGATATGGGGAACCTGTGTGCTGGTTTATGCTTTGTGAGTATAAAACAAATTACGTGTGCTATCTGATTGTCCTGCAGATGTTGTGCGGTTCTGGTGCAGTGTTTTGTCAGTATTGTTTATTTGACTGAGTCCCGGTCAAAATAAGTAAAAAACCTTTCATTTTGATGTGGCCTGGCTTGACTCTGCAACACTATCGACAATATACTGTAGACAACAGTTATATTGTTTCCACTGAGTGAGGTTTCTTAAAAGAAGCTGAGCTGAATGAACGCAGCTAGGAGCCTTGAGCTGGGCCAAGAGAGGGCGCAAGTTTGTTAGCAACAGAGGCTCCGTTGGTTGCAACTACACTTTGCAGGCTCACAAGCGACTATGAATGCATGCATTGCGGTCGCATTGGCACCAACAAAATGAACATTCCTGACCAACATGGCTCTCTTTCGACCGATGAGGGGGTGCTTCTGCTCGAGGCGGATAGCCTGTGCTCATGTTGTCTCTCATCAAGTTTGTTAGCAGTAGAGGCTCCATTGGTTGCAAGTACACTTTGCAGGCTCACGAGTGACTATGAATGCATGCATTACGGTCGCATTGCCACCAACAAAATGAACATTCCTGACCAACATGGCTCTCTTTCAACCGATGAGGGGGTGCTTCTGCTCAAGGCGGATAGCCTGTGCTCATGTGTCTCTCATCAGCAGCCACACATTGTAATATACTTATTTCTCCATGCATAGCAAGCTCTTCAAATAAGTTGGACAATCTGAACTAGATGTTTCTTTGAGGTAGCGGCATGTTTTCCAGTTACTTTCTTTAACTTTAATGCTTTTTTTTCCTGCACAGCTATGAAAGCAACTCAGAGCCCAACAGCCACAACTATCCACTGGCATTATTGCTTCTTATATATGCCTCGTTGGTCACTGGTATTTACATTCTAACCAACCAACCCGTCTTCCATCAGGTACATGTAACTCTCATTTTTCTCTTTGATTTTTGTTCAGTAATGTTTGACTTTCCAGTAAGAATAAACCTGTAACCTAATGACATCGCACTTTCTTAACTCGCCCTCTCCTACAATAGTGACGTGGGATAGGATCCATTGAGTCCCTGAAGGAAGCACACACATGATGCCATTATATTTTAGGTCTCTTGCAGACGAGAAAAAAAATATACTAAGAAGTTATTTTCATCCTTTGATCTGTTACAGACGGCCTATGGAATCCTGGTCTTTACACTTGTGTTCCGCGGTGTGTATTGTGTCACTGTCAAGTAAGTCAGCTCCTTTGTTAAATTGTCCATAGAGGAAACTTGGCTAGGTTCACCTCATGTTCGTTTTCAGTTAAACATGGAAAATTAACTGCTGCAGGATTCGAACCCAAGACCTTTGGAAATGCTGCACTTGTGCTCTGCTGATAGTCAGCTAGTTGTTGGGTATTGTCAAGCTGCCAGCTTCAGGATGAGTAGTCCAGAGGTCAGAGCACTGGAGTGGTAATGCAAGGGCTCGTAGGTTTGAATCTCTCCTCAGTCAGTTTTTCTCTGTTGTTGCTTTCAAATTCACATCGCAGTAAATGGAAAAGGATAATTTTTCTGTCATTGTTTATCATACACTATGCTAAACCGGTTCCAGTCATCTGGATAATCTTGGTAAATTGAATGATGGTCTTAGGTTTGAGTCCTTTTTGAGTAATGGCCCTATGTACTGATGACATGTCACAGTGTTTACCAAAGTACAGCCATTTGCAAAAGTTTAAGACCACCTGGAATTTTATTGTTATTTCTGTCACTGGGCCTGCATTGCATTGTCTTTTTGACTGATTACTTAATTCACATGATTTTACAGTCGTGCATAACATCAGTGTAGTGCTGTATACCCATTTGAATGAAATTTTTGCAAAGGCAGGTCTTGTTTAACATTTAGTCTGTAAGGCAGCTTGGGAAAAAAGCCAGTCTAAGCAATCAGAAATAAAGGAGGGAACACTGAATATTAGACTGTTAACATGTCAAATCATGGAAATGTAGTAAAAAATGTTCAACCAAGGTACCAAGGTAACACATTGAAAATAAACCTAAGTTGCCATGATTGGTTTAAGTTTGGTTTTCCATCAGGTTAATGCATTTTCTGTGGGTGGTCCTAAACTTTTGAAAATGACTGAACATGTACATGTACATTGTGGGAGCGAATGGGGTTCATTGATGTATATATTGCCATACATTGCTATCATGAGCAAACGAGTATGATTGTCTTTGTTTCCAAAAGGCAGTTTTTTTGCACCCATTGTTTCAAAGTGTCTGGGGAATCGTCTCGCACAGTTAGAAATGGTAAGATTGCGCCTTTCACTTTCTTGTGATCTAAGGTAATCGTATGTCTTCTCTTTTCCCTACTCATTTCAGACAGTGGCCGTGTACACAGCACTGATAACCCCTATTCTATCCCACCATGCAGTGCGATGAACATCTGATACATAATTATCATTGGGTTCATCATAGACTTTGCACACACGATACGTCACTTCGTGGTGTGGCAACTATCCACGATACGTCACTTTGTGGTGAAACCGACGATATCATCGTAGAGCGATTCTGTGCACTTTATCCTTTTCTTTCACGTTCTTAGGAGTTAATCGTTAATGACGCAAAAGAAGACGGAGATAGTTTTGGATCCCCAGTAGTGATTGTCAACATGATCACTGTGGTAACCAGTTTGTATGGTGTCCTTGTACGTGGAAGGATCGGCCATATATTTCACACCAAATCAATATGATGTAATGGCGTGTGTAACTGCACATTCCTTCATGTCTTACAGTTGTAGCTTGATTTTCTCGTTTTGTTTCTAATGACAGCAAACAGGAGTATTCACTATTCCTCTTTGTGTATTCAATTGGTCTCTATGCGACTGGGTTCTTTTTGTGGCTAGTAGACAACGGTTTCTGCACACAAATTAGGTATGTAGTCAAAGTTTCTTATGTTGAGTCTCCTTACCTTAAAAGCTTTATTCATTTTGCTTGATTAATCATAAGAACTGGACTTGTGAGGGGACTTGTGACTAGACCTGTGAGAGGACTTGTGACTGGCCTTGTGACTGGCTTTGTGAGGGGACTTGTAACTGGACTCGTGAAGGGACTTGTGACTGTCCTTGTGACGGGACTTGACTTTGTGAAGGGACTTGTGATGGGTTCGACTACAAGACTCTTTGAAGGTGGAGTCATTACAGCATTCTGGAGGGTGCAAGTTCAGTTCACGCATCTGCTAGTTTTTTAAGTTAACTTGAGTAAAAATAATGTGAGAAAGGTTTCCTTGCACCATTTTTTTGATGTTTTGTTGGTTTTTTTGTTTGCCCAGGCAATCACGAGAGCTCATTCCAGCCCCTGCTAGTGCAGTCTTACAACTCCATGGTTGGTGGCATGTCTTAGCTGGCCTTGGTACCCACGGCCACATCATGTTTAGGTAAGTGGAGTCAACAGCATATGCAGGCCATTGAAGAGAAAAAAAAAAAACACTGGAAAGTTGCAAATGGATGACATCGGATGCCAACCTGTTTGCAGTCAAGTATTTGGACGTGTCAGTCTGAACCCGTATTGGAGATTCCAAGTCACAAAACTTTGAAAAGTCACTGTATTTGCCGGGTGCACCGTTGTTACCTAATTACAGTGCAGTTTGTCAGAGTAATTAATTATTGTTTTCCTGTGTTGTGTTGTTGTTTTACAGTTGCTATTTACGAAACAGGTTTCTGAAACGCGAGACCACTGTTTGGGTAAGCAACATATATTCTAATCCATGCTACAGTGGTTGAAAACTTGTCTCAGCAAAGTTATCATACTAAAACATGAATATTTGTAAGAAAGGTTACACTAATGTATTTGAATAAATGAATAGGCTCATTTGCCAGTGATGGTCATGTTCATATGGACTGGTTTTTGTTATTGTTAACAAGTGCATAGACACATTCAAGCATACTAACAGGTTCTGTTGGATGTTTCTTGCAGCAATTAGGCATCCTACCGTTTGTGTCAGTTGGGAAGGCAGAATGAGGCTACATTGAAGACATCCCTGTTCGCAATATGGTGCTCACATCACACAGGGTACAAGAGTTGTTGCCATGTCATTTTCCAACTCCCCGTACATGTATATATAGAATGTGGCACTGTGTAAATCAAGCGTAGTTACCATTGTAGACCGTAGAATGAGCTCATTGGGTATTCCAACAGGGCATGCCCAGAATGAGGTCATTCCAGACCTAAGTTAAAGGTCTGCCCGATCAAGGCAGCCCTAAGCCAATTCCTGCACATGCTTTGTTCCTGAATGACCTAATGTAGCTGTTTTGAAATGCCCAACTCGTTCATCATGAAAAGAGAAATATGGTGCTTGCATGAAAACCAAAAAAAGAACTCGCACACTGTCTCGAGTCCAAGCCCCTCAGCACGTCTCGGCCTTTTTGTAAACCCAGACCCCAATCCATTGTCAAACAGTCTTCATACTCGAACAAGTCAGACTTGCAGTTTACATGGTTTAAGGTTTGATTCAGCTGTACCACCATTCACATAATGTACATGTCAGTATACTTACAGGAAATAGGAATAAAGATTTGACAGATGTGCTCCTCTGAATGATAGTGTAGCTTCTGTTATTTCTGGTTTATTGTTACTGTTAACTTTGAATAAGATTTTGAAAAACAAGACACATACACGTATATTCATCTGTATGACTCTCTAAGGAGAGGAAAGCAAGATGCCAGAAAATTTTCAAACGGGAGGGTTTTGAACAGGTTCGGTGAAATGTGCCAAAGTCTTGGACGTGTAAATGTCCCTTAATGGGAAGGGCCAGGCAGTTTGTGCTGGATGTTCAGCTTCAGGAAGACAACTCGGCTCAGTTTTTTTCTTAAGTTCAAATTTTACAAAGCCCCTATTTTGAACGTCAGTTTTTGCACAGGCAAACAAGTCTTCGCAGTTCCTTCCAAAATACTGGGTGCAGTGGAAATATGGCCTCAGCACCGAGGGTTGTAGGTTTCAAAAGTATGAGAGGACAGACAGTTTTTAACCTTGGCTGGAAAGTGAGAGGGAGATACAGCAGTACTAGGTGAAACCCTGTTTGACAGGCATAGATTAAGTCATAACTTACAGTTCAAATACTTCCACACCATTTTGCTACAAGTTTTACTCTTGCGACTGTGCAATTATACCATTGTAACGTGAGCAGTGTTGGTAGATGGGAGAGTGGTATTGTTTCCATGTTAAGTACATGTAGGTCAGTGTTATTTACATAGCTTTTTGGTTGGTAATGTGACTGCTTACCTAGTTTTTTTTGCCCATACTTAGCAAATTTGCCTACATGTAGTCCCTGTTTATAGGATAGTTTACTTGTCCGTGTTGGACTTATTCAAGGGCATACATATAATGAAATTTGTGCCCTTTGGCTGTTGTGCAAAACACAGCACATGAAGTTGAAACTTCACACATGTAAGAGCAGTCGCTGCTCTGTATAGTGGGTATAAACTGACAACAGTACTTTCTCAGTATAAATGCTTTGTTTTTAGTGAAGTACTATATCAAATAAAGAGAATAGACAGCAATTGTTCTTGACCACAGTGGTGCCCTTTGTAGTTTCTTCTTTGTTCTGGATAACTGTCTACTGAAAAATCATAACCTATTCTTTCTTAATTTCCAGCACATGACAAAGGGACTTGGCTGAAGACCATCCTCTCTTAAGATGTACCAGGAACTGTAAAGTTATTGTTACTTCTAAAAATGCAGTTCAAGAATATCATTTAATTGGCTAGCAACGGACATTCCTGTGCATTCATATTTCACAAGGAAAGACCAATAATACATATTGGATACATTTGACAAGCATACAGTTTCCAGACGATTTCTGTTAAGGATACTTGCACCACTACATGTATCTGCAATTAGTAATTCAGCACTTGCAGGCACTTTTTAATTTGGCATTTAAAAAAAAGATGAAATCACAAATGAAACACACCTCTCCTCTCTTTGTGTCATAAATGTAAGGACGGACAATAAGATCCCCTTTCTATGCAAATGAAAATATTACTCTCACGAATAACTTGATTGTGCTAGGATTGTTTCACAGATGAACTCAATACCTTAACATGTACATGTATGCCTAGTTTAACACTTCCAAAATATACAGAAACTGCAACATCAATTTTTTCCAACATTACCACTTTACTCGGCCATTATGTAAGACGGCCTCAGCAACTTATTCCTGATTACGATGTACCGGGTCACAAATATAAACACCTTTTACAAAAGGTTGCCCAAACTTCTCAAACAACAAGTTAGACAACGGTAACAGACAAATATTACTTTCAGAGATTTGCCAGCTCTCTTGCATTCAATATTTTCTATTATTTATATTATATTCATATGTTTGTAATGCTTAAATCTATGCATTTGTACATGTAAGTCACATTAAATTTTGGAAATTGGAAGTGACTCATGATTGGATTAAAACATCTGATTTGCATCAGAATAAACTGCCACAAAGTTCATAACTCCGATCACTTGTAATGTACAAAAATGAATCTTGGCTCTTTCAGGCTTTTACAAATAATACAAAAATAGCATAGCATCTTTCTACCTTTTCTTGGTCAATTCAATAATTGTGTTACAACTGAAAGACAGGGGGTCTGGTTCCATCCGCGATCACCATAGCAAGGATATTAATCATACTACAGCATGTCATTACATTTTTTTCCAACTGATGTATATGTACAATGATAACGGATTCATCACTCACAGATAACAGAAAATACATGTAATACAATGCCGTAGCCAACCTCTTTCCCCGATAGATGACAAAGTGTCAAATACATGTACATGCACAACGTGCAGTCTGCTTCGCACACATTAGCATCATGGACGTCTACATGTGAATATAATCTGAATAAAACTGAAACCTGTAGAATTTTGATTGATCGATTAAACTAAAGCAGAAACACATGACCCAAACAATGTAGAACTGTATAAGAAAACATCTGATGCATGTTGCAACAGTGTATTAAAATCCCTTCTGAGCCAATGCACATATGTAGGTACACTTTGTACAAGACTGTATGCAACTGCTAAATATTACTACTTCGCTCATAGAGATTAGCCAGCTGTTTTTATTTTGGAGTAATTCACATTCTACATACATGTACATATCATTCAGCTTTTCATGGAATTCCATTTCCGTATCTGAAGTTGTGCTTCTCATATCGAGACAAGTGGTGATCAAGAGCTGTTAAAGTACATGCCATAAATGAAATGTTGGCAAATTCTATGATTCTGATCATTTGTAAAAAAAAAATGGGCTCTTTGTATCATTCAGGCTACTCAAAAATGATAAAGGATAAAAAATAGTTATTTACAGAAACACAGACACATACATGTACATGGTCACCAAAAGATTATTTCACGGCTGATAAGCAGAATGTGTTCTGCCGGAGGATGGCAGATGACTGAAACTTGCTCCCCAAGGGAACAGCGCATGGGGACATGGTTAACAAAAGGCGATGTTGATGAGCCACTCAGTTTGTAGCACTAATGAAAGACAAGATTCTACAATCTACAGAATTCAGGCAGATTGTCCCTCGGTGCCTAACCTTCATATTGAATCACTTCATATTTTTGCCTCCACCAACACTGAGGAAGGACTATCCACGCACTGATGAGGTCTCAGCATGTTACATGGAAATCACTTGTCTTACTACAACTTTTACTTGTGGATATATGCACAGTGCACTGTGGTGATGAAGGAACTGGCTTGTTCGGGTTAAGCCTGCGTATGCCAGTGTGGATATATCAAGCCTGGTATCCATTTTCCATACATGTACATCTACATACTGTATGACCACATGAGCTGATTGACATCAATTTAATCTTTATCACCCTCTCATATTTCTAGACTGTAAAAATGAAGTATGAAGGAAAAGTCAATGTTTCATTCATGCCATCAAACCCACACTGTTGAATTTTTCTTCCTTACCCATTTTTGGTAGTACATGTACATGTGCCTTTGAGTGGTTGCTACGTTTTTCAAAGAGCAAACAAATTTAAAGTGAGAACAACAGCATATCGGAGTAAACTACTTCATCCAAATCAATCAAAGGAAGAAAATGTGCCGAATGATGTGTCCACCTCTGTGGTACATGTATGTGGTTAAATTATGAAGCCTTTGCTGTGAACATACAAACAATTGAGGTTTGAGGAACCCTTACATGTAGGTCAGGGAGCGGCCTGGTAAACCATTTTTACATTAACACACTTACCATGGCAACATGTAACTGATATATTTCTTGATCTGAACATCCCGATGCCCCCCCTAAAAAGGGAAAAATCTAAAGTATGAAAAACTTCACATTGCACAAACGAGGTTTTTTGAGTGGAAGGACTAGTCAATAAGGACAATACTGAACTATGCAAACAAGGTGATTTTTGTAAGAACTCTAACTTCCAATGTTTCTTGCAGAATTTGTAAATGTACACACTCACTAAGAGGCACTCGTACTTAAGCACTGCAAGCCAGATGGATAGATCACATGGACAATGACAAAGTCAGTGACAGTGATTCCTCGATGGATTTCATTTTTTCCCCGTCTCAGTTTGCAGTAATCAAGTTGCAGCCGGCGCGGGGCCTGGCTTGGCCTAACCGGCTTGCACCAAAATGATGCAGTACTACCTAGGTTGTGCTTGGAAAGAACCAATGTAACCAAATTGGACAGGTCGCTGAATATGAGTGACTCAGCAACATGTATCATGTCCTGTCCATTCAAGAAGCAGCCCCTAAAGTAGAGCTCCTGCAGGGCCTTGCACTGATTAACTTGCTCACACCATAATGCAGTTGTACCAGCCAGGTTATTACAGGAAAGATTCAAGGTACCCAAGTTGGGTAAATCCCTTACTGACTCAGCAAGCTGTACCATGTCCTTTCCATTCAATGAACAATCCCTTGCATCAAAATTTTGCAGGGCCTTGCACTGCTTTATGCGCTCACACCATAATGCCGCTGTACCAGCCAGTTTATTACTAGAGAGACTCAATGAAGCCAAGTTGTGTATATCCTTCAATGACTTGGCAACATGCACCATGTCCTCTCCAGTCAATGAGCAGTCACTCAAGGCCAGTTGCCGCAGGGCTTTGCACTGCTGCAAGTGCTTGCACAAGGGTGCTGCTGTGTCTTTCAGGTACAATGAGATATATCCAGTGCTCCAAAGTTTGGTAGTTCACAGAGTGACTTTGCAACGCGAGCTAAATCTTCACTAATGAAGCAATCACTGAAACATGCCTGTTCTAGATTTGTCATTGCATTCAGTGCTAAGGCTAAACCTTCACCGCACCCTGTAAAGATGAAGGGCTTAAACGTAACCACCTTCACTTCAGCGAGGTAAGTACTGGCACCATCCCTTGTAAGCTCAACAATGCATTTCAGAAAGTATGTGATTGAGTTGGCACCATCTCGGTGGAACTTTTAAATCATTTCACTTCCTGGCATGGTCCAGCCACATACAGTAAATCTCATTATTTACAAACAAGTGTATGAACCCCCTGTGAGGCAAACATTTGCACTGGCCTTCAAAGTAAAACAGCAGCACCAACTGGCCCACCGCACTTTGAAATGATAAATCCCTCTGATACCTCTCTTGAAAGGTAAGTAAGTGAAAGGTGCATGCTTCATTGTCACCACAACAAAAGTGCAGAAGATACTCAAAACCCCATGGGCTCATCGATATTATTACATGTATGTCATTCAGAGTTTCTTGAAATTGCTCTCTGTCTTTTTCAAGCATGTGTTGCAAGTATAAAGCAGCACGGAATTTCCTGGAATGTTTTATGAATAAACTGCACTGGGATTAGCCTCTTCACGACTCTCTGCCTGGTCAGAATTCCAACTCTCAGAGCCCTTACAAGCACACTCGGATCAAAGTCACTTTCTTTAAAAGACAGAACTTGCTCTCCAAAAAGACCATCCCAACCAAGCTTGCCGAGAATGGTCACAATAGAGAATATTTCTTCTTTTGACACTTTTTTCTTTTACCGATGTATTCAATTGTCTTAGCGTACAGGCGTGGCATTTTTTCTGGAAGTGTGGACCCTTCTCTCCACAGTAAACACATCAAAACCGGCCAACCCACTAAATACAGCTATTGGCACCTGATCCCCCTCTCTTGTTTCAAGGAGTAAAATACCCTCATACTGTACCAGTGTGCCTTCTATTCCTCCTTTACCGTTGACGAATTTCAACTTAGTATATGTCTGCAATATGTTTTTTGTCATCATAAATAAAGCAACGGGTTCATTTTGTACAAAACCGCCTCGTTTCTCGTAGTACCACTTCAGTGCATCTCTATCATGTCTATATTTACTACCAGCATCTTGAAATGAGACGTCAGATGTACTGTACAACAAATTTCAACTTTTTAAGTTTGGAAGTATGCATAAACTGGTTTGTCTTACATGTACTTTAGTGGATCTCATCAATGCCTACTGAGCAAACCATGGAGGCAATTTTTACACACGGCCTTCCCAAAAGGAATTCGTTTGAAAGCGCGGGCGGGGGGGGGCTTGCATAAGCTGTAATTTTTGAAGAGCAAATTCAGCTCCAGACAATACACAAAGTGATTTCAGCAGTCAGCCTGTTGAGTATGGGACATAGAGAAATGTTAAGTACACCCTCTATTGACATGTACATGTTCTCGTGTTACAAAGTGTGCTGAATAAAGCCTGTCACGGCAAACGTGTGCCCTCCAAATTCCTGCCTCTAAAGTCATCTGAATTAACCTACGCCGGGTCACGCAACATGGTGGCAGCAGTGCTGGAACTTAGTGCAACGCAACACAGCCACTTCCCATTGGCATGGTTAAGCTTTTCAGTGTACTGTACGTGAAACTGCAATAACACTGTGGACTCCACAGTGCGGCGGCATAACAAACCAATCATCCATCGCCATTGCCCAAATGTCATGTTCAAGATCCCTACCTACAATGCGGTGTGCTTGCATTGGAGTCATTGTCAGCTGAAACCAACCCCAAAACCAGGCAAGGATGCGTTCCACTCAGCCTCTGGGAGCCCTTGGCTCTGTCGACACAAAGAGTAACATCCATCAATACATGCACATGTATATTAGTTAAAGTATCTACTGAATTTAGCTCTGTGCTGGACAATCCTGCATTTCATCAGTTGTTCTTTCTTTCTTTAAAATGTCCTACAACGCCATTTTCTTGTTCCTTGTGCCCCTTTCCCTTGTCACTTAAGGCGAGAGGATGTTTCAGTATAATGTGATGGCAGACCAGATCTTAGGTCATAAGCAAAAGTGCATTCAACTTTGCTTGATAATTCAATTTTGCTTGAAGCAGGAACATGTTTGTGCATTACGTCACATCTTGATATCTTTGGGAGGTTTGCGCGGTGAGGTGTCCACAAGTTAGGTTTGCAGTAACACCACATATACTGTATGTTATCTGAGGGTCCCACTGCCCAAAACGCGATGGGAAGAGCACGCTGCCGGAAAAGTCGAGTTACCAGTGCTACTCAGAACCAACACTCACTAAAAAAGACTATATCTTATGACTTAAAAACTTAGTGAGTACTGGTACTCCATTTCGACTTTTTAAAAAAAGTTTCTTAATATAAGAACAAAATTCTTGTTACAAGAAATCGTTTCTCAACTTATAACCTCCCTTGCAAAACTTCTAGGAAGTGAAACAAGAAAGTATCTTGAAGTGAGAATTTTCCTCATTTATAGGAACCATTTTAAGCACAGTTGATAAAACAGATAAACCCCGGGCAGAAGATCTTAAAATACTTCCTAGCTAAAGCAGTGAATAAATAAAACATGGACTAACCATTGAGCTCTTCAGCCAGAGTTGGGTTCCTCACCTCCCCCAGTGCATTGTCAATAGTTTCTCTCTGATTGACCTCACCAGAATGTCTGTTTCTGCACTTGATCAGCATGTGAAATATCTGACTGACAATATCCAAGGGACAATTGGCCTCAAAGTGTGAAATTTCTGCGTAGCTGAAGCTGAGCTTTGTAGCCACTCCCTTCCATTCTCTTGCATCTATCTCTTGAGCTATGCCATTTAAGGCTCCATCGTTTATATCACCTGTTGAATAACAAAATGTGTACGCTTTCATGTTTGTTACTATTGATGTAATGATTTTCTATGCATTTGTTGAACCTATATTGTTTTTTCGTTTTTTTTTTGGAAATTTTGGTAATTGGCCCAACAATTGTAAAGCATGAAAATGTCATTCCAAGGTAACTCGCGTGACATTTGAAGAAAATATTGAGTTTTAATGCATTACTGTTGCTAACATGGTACTTATTCAACTCAAATTACCATGTAATTAAGACAAGGCATTGTGAATGTATCTCTTAGTTTTTATTTGATCACTTTAAAAAGTTTATTGTTTTCTTTATCACAGTTTCTTTGACGTGACTCGCGTGACAGGATAAAAAAGGGGATTTTTCATATCCCTTGAATCTAAAAGCATTTCCTATGAATCTACAAGTGTGCTAAAGTAAATTTTTACTAAACTAAAAACTTCATACTCTGACCTAATCCACGTATAGGTTACATTGTACCAAGTCTCTTTTGTTATGAGGAATGGCCTGAAGAAAATGTGACTCCCGTGACACAAATGTGTGACTCCCGTGACGCAATAACTTTTTCACTTTTACATTGTAACTGTAATAAGAGTAAAACAAATCCAATTATAATATTACATTAATAAAAATGATGTACCTGCAAATAGCGGTACATTATGGAAGAGAGTGAAAACTGCTATTATTCCTTTACTTTGGCAGATATGGGGTGGAAATCTATAGGGCATTCAAAATTTACTTTCAACAAGCATATTAAATTCATAATAATTGTCATAATTACTACCTATATGATGCTGAATCCGCTTGGTAGGATGACTAACTTTAGGAGAGAACTACCGGCATGTACATGTATACAGTAAAGCATGTACTTGTGTATGCATGTGGTATTGTTTTAAGCTTTCACATGTGGATTTAGTGCAGGTTCCACAGCCCACCTTCCACATGGTAAAACAATGCTGTGTTCCAGAATTTTCTAGGAGTTTTCCATGTAGAGGGGTTGACCGCATTAAACTGGGAGGGGTGTCTGAATATATGCTTGCCCATCTTACCTACATGTATTGTACATGTGCCCATCATCATACTTTCATGTACATGTAATTGACAGAGTTTCCAAAGGAAAGAGCTTCAATTAATGATGTACATGTAGTTGTACAGAAATGACATACAGCATCATTTTTGGGGGTAAAAATCTTTAATTTCATTAACTAATTTAATTTCGTGTTTTCACAGTGCTTTTAGTTACACTCAATTTCAATTGCTGGCGTGTGACTCACGTGACATATTGCGCATGTATGACTCGCTTGACACACTTGAAAGAGTTTTTTCCACAGGGAATGCAAAGCAATTAAGAATATTGTGGCGATTTTTGTCTTCCCAAAAAATAAATTGTTTACTAGGCCTACTACGGTAGCGCGCGGGAGCGGCTCAGCACGCGGTGGGAATTCCTGTGGGCGGCGGGTTCTCAACAACCCGGGGGGGGGTGGGGGAGTCAGTTTGTGGAAAGTACATGTATGTATCCACACTTGCAGGCAACCCTATCAGACAGACAAGTAACTGGCCAGCAGGACAGGGAATAACTTATCTCATACGTTTATTCAACACCACACAGGGAGGTACAATGTACATGTACCTCCTAAACTGTGACCTCGGTTACCTCGGGAAGCGACAGGACCTCCGCCAATGACCCCAACAATGTCAAAGAAACCAATCCACAATTTGTAAGCAAATTCTCCCTGCAAAACCCACTTAAAAGAACAGAATTACGAATTACCGTAATCCAACCTTGACTTGCCTTAATTTAATAGCTCGGAAAACATGTCTAGATGGAAATGACAATGGTTCTTACTGACAGTTCAGAAAGCTCAATGTCCTGTTCCGCGCACCGTAACCGTATCCAAAACAAAGAAAGAGGCAAGTGATCTCATCTAAAAAATTCCCCTGGCAACATTGAATGACGCGCCATAATTTGGGCGACGGAAATAGCCCTAACGAGTGCTCCAAAACATCAAAGGATCGCTAATACGCCCGATTGGGCTCTGAACACAAGAAAATAGCCCAACGCGCAAGGGTGCATCCACTAGTACCCGTACCCGGCTCGCACTCACCAAGTATTGAAGTCAATGCATCATTTAAGGGAGCAGTTACAGCGCACGAAACTAGGATTTCCATGGTGCAAAACAACGAACACGTTACGGAATAAGACATGCGTGAAGTACAGTACTAGTAAGTGTTAACCAGTTTGCGCTACATAGCCCCATTCAACCAGCCTGAACGGTCCTTGTTCATTTAGGTTGAAACAATCCAAGCAAATTGGTTGGCAAAAATAAACAAATAAATAGCAAAGTACCGATTGAATAATTAATGATATTTACATTCCATAAAGTTAATTAAATTAAACTGAACAGCAATCTTATACTTTCATGTACAGTATTAGAATTTGAACATCCGCAACAGGCAACATTACATAATATTGCGCTACAATATTCATGCTTTTATTGATAGACTACTACTGTTTGATTTACAAATATCAAACACTAGCTGAATCCCTGTCTAGTTTTTAGTAATCTAAAATAATTGTCAAATTTTGTGACTCGCGTGACATATTTTGAGGGTATTTTCACTATGAAAAAAAAAACCTGGGAAAATACAAAAAGTATTTCGAAAATTTTTCGAAGTTTTATCAAATAGACTGGAATAGCTACCTAATGTATGCAGATAAAGTAAAATCATATGAATGAACTTCAGTTACTTTGTAAGTTTGATTTGCACCCCTGCCCCTCCTTTTTGACCACAAATTTCATCCATATTCAGGATCCTGTAACCTAAGATTCTTTAATTTAAAAGTTCTTTGTAGATGGTTTCAACTTTCCTCTTATCAAATACAACTGAGAAAAATTTATTTCTTTGACTTCAATTTTTAAGTTTGATGATGACCCTTACAGGGAATGGTACACAATCACGTACACAAGATGTACATGTATACATCTGGATCACGAACAGCAACTCCAGGTGGGCTTTGCTAATGCGTCCCCCCTCCCCTGCACTTTAGTGCCTTGCTGAACTTGCCGTGATGAAAATAGCAACGCACCACGATGAGATCTTAACTTGCAGGGGCGAGTTCGGGTTGTGGCCTCTCTAAGCTTGATTCAACACATATCAGTACCAGAGGTGACATGAACACTTGCCAACATATATAATTGCCCGAGGGTAAAGTTACTTTTAAAAAAAATGGCCAGTTCAGAAAATGATGCCCGTCACCTGTTGCTGCACGTTGACTGTTGGATCTCCTTCTGCTCCTTGCACCATCCTGGTCAGCCATTCTGTTGGGAATTCATCTAAACAGTTAATCAAACCAGTAGACAAGCATGTGTGCTTGTTATATGTAAGTGCCCCATCTATGGCATCATTCCAAACTACATGTATAGTCGGGACAGTCCCAACTAAAGTGCCACAGTTGGGCTGCCCTAACTATGGTCAGCCATATAAATTTCTATAAAAAAATTCCTTGACCTTCGCCAAGTTTATACGGCTCACACCTGTCATAATGCACCCACAATATGCCAACCAGGCAAGATTTACCCGTGTATACAATTCATCTATATAAATTCATTTCTTTTTATTTTTTATATTAAATATATTTTTTTATATGAAATGATTTTGGAACATGCAAGGCACACACTGGCACTCTGTGCTGTTGTGCTCCAGTTGGGACTGTCCCAACTATAGCTGGAACAAATGATATAGTTGGGGCATAGCATGCTTCATAGGCTTCAGGGATGTCAAACAAGATGCTCCCTGTCTCGGTAATCTGGGAACTTTGTGGATCACGTTTTGTCAAGACTGGGTTGAAATCTGCTTAACAGCAAATTAGGTTGCATGTATGCACAATAGTACTATTTACACTGTGCTGGTGTTTTTTATTGGGACAAGAATCAATCAAATTTTTGTTTTTTTATATTTAAGCACAAGTAAAGGCTCTTCAAAAACCTCAGTAATAAGTATTTTCTTGTTATTTGACCACACCTTGATTACAGTACTTCAATTTCAATGGATCAGGTCAATTCGACTATGCTTTCGGAGGACCACAAGGGTTATCCAACAGACACCAGGAATTAATGCACACGGAACTCGGAACATCATACCACCATCATTGGAATCTTCGATTCCTATTGCCACTGAACCCTACAGTGAGCACCGAATTAGACAGTTTCAGGACTGTTTTGGGGGTGCAANTCTTAGGATTTTGATTTGTAGTAGGCCTATGACCTATTTCCTCACTCATCACTCTATTATTTACTTTCAATTGTACTTATTTACTCTGGTTGTCATCTATGTAATCTATATTTAAGCCTTATTCTGATTTATTTGTCATCCTCTGCTGTGGCAGTAGAGGTGCCCATTACAATTTGAAGACTTTCGCTAGGTTCAGAGAACTCCATTTATTTGGAGACAAAAACCAGACCCCCTGAAATACAGTATGTTTAAAAGGGGCATTTTTTCTCAAGTAGGCTTTGGTTTGTCATTAAAATTATCATTTTTTCTTCCAATTTTTTCCATTTGTTGTTTTTTATAATGATTTTTCTGCCATAAGTCACTTGATTAACTACATGTACACATATCTAAAGGATTTATATTCAGAAAAATTGTTTTGATGCGGTCTTTTTCGCACTCTTTATGTCCCATTGCGTTACACCTGCTTGCAATCCTAGAAGTAAATGGTAGAATTTTTTCAACGGCAGCCTTGGTTGGTTTTCTTCTGCTGAATCCAATTATGCTTTTGCTTCTCTCCGTACACAACACCCTAGAAACGTACTAGGCTATCCTTGTACAGTTTGGAACGGTTCGTGTGGGAGCCGCAAAACATTTAATTTTGAAATGGGCTTTAGTAAGTTGGCTATATCAACTGAGCCTAAACAGTCTTAAAGCTCGTTGGGCCTGGTGCCACGTCCTCAGGTAGTGTCGGTCACTCTGCCCATTCTACGCCCACAACCACTTCGCCCATTTGCTACTTAGCCCACAGTGCCACTTCGCCAATGGCCTTTGTCAAAATTGAAAAGGGAGGACCCATTAAAACAACAATACATCCTGAATGCCCTGAAAGATAAAACATCAAATACAAGTATTAGGAAACGGTGGACTTAGAAAATGTCAAGGTTTTCTTTATGTGAGCCAATGCAAAAAGTGGGCACCTTGGCACCTACATGTACCAGCGCATGTAGTAAGAACAATTAATGTGGACTAGCTGTGCCACTCCTGTAATAAGATAATTGTGCCACATTTGCATTTCGATAACCAAAATTTGATATACCCTAAAATAATAAAAATTTCAGAAATATTTCAGTGACTTAGTTCTTAGACTTAGATTCATTTTTATGCACAGAAATTTTCTGTTTTTCATGGGGTCTCAGTGCACGCTGCTGGAAAATAGCGTTGGAACAGAAACAATGCTTTTTTGAAAATGCCTTTATCTCGCCTGAGTCTTGATGTTTTGATTATTGTATCCAAAAACTTGCTAGCAATAAACCAGTTAAAGGATGCAGAGATCTGTTGATTAAGTAAGCCACAGGCCTGCATGCTTGTGAAATTAGGGCATGCATCATGCAAAATATTGTGTGGGCCCTGGTGTGGACAAAGAGGCACATGGGCAAAGTGGCGAATGGGCGAAGTGGCAAATGGGCCAAGTGACAAATGGGCAAAGTGGCAAATGGACAAAAGGGCAAATAGGTGAAGTGGCAAATGGGTGAACTGGCAAATGGGCAAAGTAGCAAACAAGGGAAGGTAAGAGAGCCTAGATCGCGCGGTGTTATGTATAATTTTCTGAAATTGTTCCCGAAACTGGCACAGTGCACTGCTGGTGTCTTTTCAAACGCGGACCAGATTAGCATGCAGCCGTATAATATCACTCAAGCCCTGGAGTGCTTTTGTCCCTGGTGGTAATCCGCTCGCGCTGAATGCCAGAGACAGTGGTATAATCATTCAAAACAATGACAAATTTCCTCTGCTATTGACAAGTGCAAAAATTTTGGCAATTCCCAGCAGCTTGGTCTTTTGTTCCGAATATGGTCTTCTGTTACAAGGCCCAGTTCGCTTTGTCCGATTTTGGGCACTTCGGTTTTGCCTATAATTCATTTTATTGCCTAAACAATAAAATACATTATTCTCCGTAACCGCACATTGAGGGTACCATCGTGGGTGGTCCGTCTCGTGACCGACCTGGTAGTAATTAATGCTCGCGAAGAAGTTTTGGTCGAGGCCTAAAACACCTTGTGCCCTTGATTCTCACTGGTTAAGGGGCGAGCGGAAAAAGGGAAATGATAATTAGGATAACTAATGGGTGCATTGTGCATGTGACGATGTGACGCAATGCCTTACGGTAGGCGGGAATTCTTCACTCTGGTTCAGCTAACAACAGAGTCAACACTGTTTTTTTCATCTCGCATCTATCGACGGGAAATTTTTGTGGAAATATCGCATATTTTGCGGAAAGATCACCATTACCGGAGCCGCGGTGCGCCTAATCGTCGCTGCAGTTTGCAACGACTTATTTTCTCGTCAAGCGAACACAGTATCGGCCAGTGTTTTTGTGCATTCTAGGCTGGTGGAGAACACTGACTTGGGCCGTGCTAACGTTAGCGTCCACACGGCTTATAGGCCCTACTTTTCACGACTACGTGGGCTTTCTCTGAGCATTTGATTGCTCACCAGCTGTTCAAGCGGGATGCCGCGACCAAAGCAGCAGATACGGCACCCTGCACGGCTGGATTCACAGATCACAAGTGCAAAAGGCCGACGTCAGCATGCAAAGTCAGGCCCTTCCGGCCACCAGAGATGCAGATGTTAGCGGTGGGCCCGACGGGGATGGTTTCACACGCCAGGTCGGGGTTTCGTAGCGGCTAGGGAGCGCTACTGGAGTAAGGTATACCAGGGGAGCAGGGAAAACTACGAGAGCAAGGGACACCA